CCCAGTGCTGGGACTATAGGCACACAGTACTAAAGATGGAGCCCAGGGCTTCATGATTGCTTGGCAAGAACTCTACCAACTGGGCCCCATCCCCAGCCTTTTTTTTTTTTTTTTTAAATTTGAAACAGTCTCACTATGGAGTCAAGGGCCACCTGGAACTCCCAGTCCTGCTTCAGCCTCCCAAATGCTGGGATTACATGCACACCCAGTGTTCACATTCCTGTCTCTGTTCTCTTAAACTTGCTTAGAGCTGGGGTTTCCCTTTTTCTGGTGCCCTTCCTTCTTCCCTGGAGACTTTTCTCTTGTTTATTCTGGGATACTAGCTGTATGGTTAACCATGGGTCAGACTTCATGTTCTCTGTTCTATGCCCCCCCTTTTGTTTTTGGGGTTTTTTTCGGGGGGTCTTTTTGAGACAGGGTCTTGGAACTCACTATGTAGACGAGGCTGGCTTTGAACTCAGAGATCCGCCTGCCTCTGCCTTCCAAATGCTGGGATTAAAGGCGTGTGCCACCACACCTTGCACCCCCCCTTTTTATAGTTTTTTATTACTTATGTGTGTATGTGTGCATGCACAAGCCATGGTGTGACATCAGAGGACAATTTGTAGGAGTTGGTTCTCTCCTATCGTGTGGGTCCCAGGGATCAAACTCAGGTCCTTATGCTTGGCGGCAGGTACCTTTGCCTGCTGTGCCATCTTGCCAGCCCTGTTTTCCCCTTCTTTTATTGGTCCTTGCTTTTACTAATGAATACACTTCCACCAGGCCTGGTGGCACACGCCTTTAATCCCAGCACTCAGAGGCAGAGGCAGGCGGATCTCTGTGAGTTCAAGGCCAGGGTCTACATAGTGAGTTATAGGCCAGCTGGGGCTACAGGGAGGCCCTGTCTAAAAAAGACAAAAAAAAAAAAGAGTATGTTTCCATTTATGTCATTTACATACTTGGTCTGAGGCTTCTCTTGGCTCCCATGTAGAATGGGTAGCCCCCACCTAGACTCCCCTGGAGCTAGGATAAGGATTTCCAATATTTCACAGCCCAGCCCCCTCCCATGTCCCTGGTCCTTTGGCTCTGAATCCCTGGTTCTCATGTAAGTAGACAAGGACCTTAGCCAGAAGGAGCCAGATCAATCTGGGGAGAACAGGAGGCCAGGGCAGGAGGAGTCCTGGCTGCCACCTGGCAGCCCTGATTTGATTTTGGGTGTGGACAGCAGGGATGCTAGCGCCCAGTGTTTTCCTGGGAATGGCTCAAGAGCTAAAGGGAGTGGCTGCAGGGCTAACTGTGGAGAGAAGCCTTGGGCTCCCAGGCAGGCAGAGCTCTTGGCTAGGAATTTGGGAATACAGTTAGATATCAGATCATCCCCACAGAATGGACAGGATGCATCCATCCACAGCCTCTGCTCTCCAGCACGATCCACCGGAAGCCTGTCTCCTGTAGGAATGACTTTTATAAATGGACAGAATCTGGACTAATCACTTTAATTAACCCCAGCAAAGCCAAATGCGCTTTTGTCTTGTGACCTAATCTCCTTTCCTTGGCAGCCTCCATTTGGTACTCCATCCAAAAGATAATGAATGAATATGCTTGAGGATTAAGATGTCAAAGCACTGAAAGGCTCAGCCTTCACCAAAGCACACATTGAAGATTGGGAAGAACATGTGGCCTTGAGTGAATGAGATATTCTAGAACTAGGGAGAAAAGACTGGATGGTCTATTAAGATTAGGGTGGAGTGGATCTTGTACTTCCCCAGTTCAAGCTGGAGGAGAGTTTTGAATAAAATATGGGTGGGGCTAGACTGGAAGACAGAGTTCAGAAGTAAGATTCCTATGGGACAATTTCATCTGCACAGTTCCAAGAGATGGTTCTAAGAGATATCTAGGAGAGTAAGTGTCCTCTAAGTTCCGGCCCACTCAAGAGTTAGACTTTATTTTTTGGGTCTTTTTGAAACAGGGTCTCCCTGTAGCCCCAGCTGTCCTGGAACTCACTACGTAGACCAGGCTGGCTTTGAACTCACAGAGATCCACCTGCCTCTGCCTCCCAAGTGCTGGTACTACAGGCGTGCACCACCATGCCCGCTCAGCTTATGAGTGAGACTTTTTGATCAGTTGGTGGTAATGCTGCCATCTCCCATATCTGTACACGGTCTGACATACACTTAGTGACTCTTTATGCTATAGATTTAGTTTTTGTTTTCTTTGCTATTTGTTTGGGGTTTTTTGTTTGTTTGGGTTGGGTTGGGTGTTTTTGAGCTCTACCTGCCTCTGCCTTTATGGGTGCTGGTTTGCTATTTGTTTTGAGGCAGGGATTCATGCAGCCCAGGCTGGCCTCAAATTTACTATGTAGTTGACGAGGTCTTTGATCTTCTGATCTGGGTGCCACCTGCTCCTGGGTGCTGGGATTGCATGTGTGCATCATCTGGCTTAGCTTATTTATGTATTTATTCATTAGTATTGATGGTGTTGGGGATGGAACCTAGGGTCTAGCACTTGCTAGGCAGGTGCTCTCCCAACTGAGCCACACCCCCAGCCCCCTCACTAGGGGATTCTAGGCAAGTGCTTTACTACTGATCTACATTTCCAGTTTTCTTTTTTAGACTTTGTATTTGAGATTGAGTTTCACCCAAGTTAACAGACTGGCTTGGGCTCACTTTGTAACCCAGGCTAGCCTTGAACTTGTAGTCCTCCTGCCTCTGTTCTCCAAGTAGCTGGGATAATAGGATGCATCTGCTAAAACCAGTTTAAAAAAATGTTAAAACATTTTTATTTATGTGTGTATACATGTGCTGTATAGCGTGCCTGTGATGGTCAGAGGACTACTTGCAAATTTGGTTCTCTCCTTCTACCATATGGATCCAAGGACTGGGACTCAGGTCATCAGGCTTGGCAGCAACCTCCTTTACCTGCTGAGCTCTCTTGTCAGCCCTAAAACAAGTTTTAATCTGCAGCTTAAGAGCAGATCTGGTCAAGCACTGGTCTAGAATTGTGTTCTCTACTTAATCCTCTTGATCTGGACGGTTCTATTGCCGAAAAGTACTCTTACATCCTTTACAATGCCCTCTGACACCTGTTGCTGCCTTGAGTTTCTTAACACATTACAGCCAGAGACAGGAAATGTCTGGACCCTGTGCTTGGCCCAGCCCATTGCATGCCTTGAACAGTGCGAGCTGGGCCCTGGGAAACAGGAGCAACCTTGTGGGTAGACCCAGAGCTTGCAGAGCTTAGGGTCTGGAGGCCAGTGTTGATAGTAATGATCATCTTGGGTTCGGTGCCCTTTTAGGCTCTAGGCCTGGATGTCCTGTCCTGTGGCTCTTCCCACACACAGAGTGTGCCTGGAGCCCTGGTCTTGGAATCTACAGCTCTTTCATGGTTGACACACCCAACCAGGAACCTCAGAGAGCCCTGGGGATGAACCCCAATAGGGTCCCCTCCCGACTCTTGCTTCTTTTCTTGGGCTGGTAATGGGTGGGAACTCCCCACAGGCAGCAGGTGGGACACCCTCCCTTCCATTCCTGAGGGCAGGGAAAAAAAAAAAACAACTCAAGGACAAAACCAGGACCAAGCCAGCAACCTGCAAGCTGGTTTGTGTATTTAAGGTAGAGCAACTGGGGAGGCCTTTATAAGAGGAGCTGTGAGAAGCCAGTATTTGGGACAAAGTCCTTTCCCAGGGAATCTCTGGTTTGAGGAAGTGACCTGCGCCCTATTGTAGCTTCCTGCACCTGCTCGAGGGCCAAGGCCCACAGCCAGGTTCTTAGGCCTGGGGCACTGGCCTTGACCTGGAGGCTTGGGACCAAGCCCAAAGGTGTGCATGGAGCTGACAGGGACATGACCCAGCCAAGCTGTGGGTGGGGCAGTCAGACACCTTTCTAGCAGGATTGATCAGGAGGCTGTGTGGGGACGGAGCCGAAATTCCAGCACTAGAGAAAGAAGGATCAGGAGTTTAAAGGCAGCCTGAGCTACAGTGAGACCATATAATGTGGGCAGTGGGGCTGGAGAGATGGCTCAGTGGTTAAGAGCACTAGTTGCTCTTATAGAGAATCCAGGTTCAGTTCCCAGCACTCACATGGTCTAACAACCAGTTTTGACTCCAGTTTCAGGGGATCGATAACCCTCTTCTGGCCTCTTACTGCATTTGCATGTATGTGTTGCACTTACACACATGCAGGCAAAACACTCGTAAACATAAAGTAAAAAAAAAATGTGAGCAATAGGGAGCCATAGAGGGCATGTGACCAGGAAGGGCTGTGGCTAGAGTTAGCTACATGATGAAACTGGCAGTTGGGGTCTGTCTGGGAGACTAGCATTATCATGGTTTTGGACCCAGTTTGGTGATAAATTAAATACTTGGGGGGATGTGCTGTGGGGGTACAGCCCTCAGTTATGTTCCTGTTGCATGTTTTCCTGGGGAGATATGAACAAATGTCCAGATATGGCACCAACAACAGACTAAAGAAACTGTTCCACCCAAGCATAGCTTAGTGAACCATGTGTGGAGTTTGGGGACTTACTGGAGCGTGGGTGGCTCAAAGGCAGCTTCAGCACTGAAAAGCCCAGTATGGGTGACATGACTCATGGAAGCTGGATCCTTGAGCTTCTTATATGACTTACCTACAGGACAGCTCCTTTGTAGAGATTCCTCAGCAATTGCTTTCTGCCTTTATAACCGTGGGGAGGGACCTTGTGACTGTTGAAACTTTCTGAGCCTTGTCAGTTTCTTGAGCTCCCTGAGTCTTGTCAGTGGGACTCTTTCAAACCTCTGAGAATATTTCAGATAGGAGGAAACAGCTATGCAATAGTGGTCATCTGAGCCCAAATGCATGCAGCTCTGTGGCAGTCACTGTGCTTTGCCTCAAAACTCAGTCGGACCTTTGAGGCCCTTCAGTGATAGGAAGGCAGGCCTACTTGTGATGTGTCCCACTTGGGAAGTTGAGGTGACCATCGGAGCCAGGAGTGCCCACCCAATTGTGCCGTGGATATACTAACCCTTATATGATCTCTCTTCTCTCTAGGTGACCATGGCCTTGCTGGGGAAACACTGTGACATCCCCACCAATGGTTGCGGGTCTGAGCGCTGGAACTCTGCCTTTGCCCGCAAAGACGAACTTATCAACAGCCTGGTGTCTGCCTTAGACTCCATGGTGAGTGAGCAGCCAGGGGGGAAGAGGGTGGGACCTGAAGGGCAAGAGATCTGCCAGAGGTCATACCCATCAAATAGCTATCACTGGACACTAGACAGATGGCTTAGTTGGTAAAGTGCTCGCCTTCCAAGCCTGAGGACCTAAGTTTGAGTCCCAGAACCCAGGTTTAAAAAGCCAGGCAGAGTGGCACATGGTTGGAATCCCAGTGCTCGGGAGGAGGAGACAGGAGGATCCCTGGGGCTCAATGGTCAGCTAGCCTAGCCTGCTTGGCAAGCTCCAAGCCATTGAGAGATGCTGTCTCAAAAAATATGCTGGGCGTGGTGGTACACACCTTTAATCCCAGCACCCGGGAGGCAGAGGCAGGTGGATGCTCTGTGAGTTCGAGGCCAGCCTGGTCTACAGAGTGAGTTCCAGGCAGCTGGAGCTACAGGGAGACCCTGTCTCAAAAAGACCAAAAGAGTAAAAAAAAGAAAGAAAGAAATAGGGATTGGAGAGATGGCTCAGTGGTTAAGAGCACTGAATGCTCTTGCAGAGGACCTGGATTCAATTTTCAGCACCCACGTGGCAGCTAACAACTATCCATAACTCCAGTTCCGGGGGAATTGGATGCCCACTTCTGACCTCCAAGGACATTGCATGACATAGGTGTACTTACGTACATGTAGGCAAGGTACTCATGCACACACAAAAAATAAAAATAAATAAAATATTAAGAAAGGGGGCAAGAATGTAGCTCTGTGGTCAAGTACATGTATAATACAGAGCAAGCTCTGAGTTCAAATCCTAGTACCACATACACACACACACACACACACACACACACACACAAATCCAAGGCAGGCATGTTGGGCATGCCATAATCCCAGCACTTGGGAGGCAGAGGAAGGTGGATCTCTGTAAGATTGAGGCTAGCCTGGTCTATATAGTGAGGTCCAGGCCAGCTGGGGCTATAGGAAGACACTGTCTCAAAAAAACAACAAACAAACAAGCAAAAAAATCTTGTTGCTGGAAAGATGGCTCAGCAGTTAAGAGCACTGGCTGCTCTTGAAGAGGACCTGAGTTCAGTTCCCAGCACCCACATGGTAGCTAACAACAATCCATAACTCTAGTTTCAGAGGATCTGATGCCCTTTTCTGGCCTCTGTGGACATTACATACATGTGGTACACTTAAATACACACAAGCAAAACACTCATATGGTAATGTATGACTTCAGTCTCAGCACTTGGAAGGCAGGTAGATTTCTGTGAGTTCCAGGCCAACTGAGATTATAGACAAACCCTGTCTCCAAAAACCAAAGGGCTGGAGAGGAGAGATGGCTCAACGGTTAAGAGCACTGGCTGCTTGTTTGATTCCCAGTTGTCTTTTTGAAATAGGGTCTTACTGTAGCCCCAGCTGGGCTTGAACTCACTCGTAGACCAAGCTGGCCTCAATTTCACAGAGATTGGCCTGCCTTTGCTGGGATTAAAGGCATGCACCACCTTACCTTTATTTTATTCCCATGCCTATATGTATGTGTGTATACAGGTGTGTATGTGTGTTCGCAGGTGTGTGTATGCAGGTGCACAGCATGCATGTGTGTGTGTGTGTATGGAGCCAAAACTGATGCCCCGTGTCTTCTTCCATTTCCCCCCCCCCTTATATTTTGAGGCAGAGTCTCTCACTTGAACCCAGAGCTTGCTAATTTGGCTACCTGTTTCTACCTCTCAAGTACTGGGGGCTGTCACATCCACCCAGCATTTATGTACATTTTTGTGGGCATTGGGGATCCAGACTTTGGTCCTCATGCTGTTGTAGTAAGCACTTTACCCACTGAGCCATCCACCCAGCCCCACACCCAGCCTATTTTAACATGGGTGCTGGGGATCAAACTCAAGTCCTCCTGCTTGCAAGGCAGGCACTCTACTGATTGAGCCATCTCCTCAGCCCTACTTTTGAATTCCCTCTTTTCCCTTAACCAGTCCTCATTGAAATTCCACTGTCAAGCTCTCTAGAAGTGGCTTGACCCCAGGACTACAGATGTGGAGGCCAGGGTTTAGAGAGAACTGTCACTGCCCTGGGTCCCAGCACAGGGTGACCAAAGTGGGTTAGAGGGCTCATGACTTACCCCTATAATCCCATCTCTGTAGCCCAGGTTGGCCTTGAGCTCTCCATCCTTTTGTGTCAACCTCCTGGGCTCTGGATGACAGGCTGGTCTCAATTTAGCTCACACACCCTCCCCCCTCCCCACAGTGCTCAGCGCTCTCTAAGCTGAATGCAGAGGTGGCCTGTGTGGCCGTACACGATGAGAGTGCCTTCGTGGTGGGCACCGACAAAGGAAGAATGTTCTTGAACGCACGGAAAGAGCTGCAGTCAGACTTCCTCAGGTTCTGCCGTGAGTACCCCAGGTTCCTCATGCCCAGGACCCAGCTGTTCGCAAAGGACAAGCCCTAGCCTGTCCCTATCTCTTCCTGCTTCAACCAGCCTAGATAGCCCAGTGTGAGGGACGAAGTAGACATAGGGTTGTCCCAAATGCAGCCTGTTGTTAGAACTGTCTAGCAGCCCCCTCTGTCACTGAACCCCACAGCCAGCCACTTTCATGTGCCCATTTTTAGAGGGGAAAACTGAGGCCAGGTTCAGTTTACTAGCTGCATTTTCTTTCTTTTTAATTAAAGAATTAATTTTAATTAATTAATTAATTAATTTAGTCTTTTTGAGACAGGGTCTCCCTATATATAGCCCCATTATGTAGACACTTGCTATGTAGTCCAGGCTGGCCTCATTGCACAGAGATCTGACTGCCTCTGCCTCCTGTGCTGGGACTAAAGGCGTTCTCCACCATGCTCAGCTTTATTTATTTATTTATTGGTCTTTTTGAGACAGGGTCTCCCTGTAGCCCCAGCTGTCCTGGAACTCACTATGTAGACTAGGCTGGCCTTGAACTCACAGAGATCCACCTGCCTCTGCCTCCCAAGTGCTGGGATTAAAGGAATGCACCACCATGCCTGGCTCATTTATTTATTTTTATTTTATGTGTCTGAGTGTTTTCTTTTTTTAATATTTTTATTTATTATTTTTATTTTATGTGTATGAGTGTATTGCCTGCATGTATGTGAGTGCACCCTTTGTGCAATGCTGCGGAGGTCAGAAGAGCTCTTTGGATTCCCCTGGAACTGGAGTTAAGGACGGTTCATAGCCGCCATGTGGGTGCTGGGAATCGAACCCAGGTCCTCTGCAAGAGCAGTCAGTGCTCTTAACTGCTGAGTCATCTCTCTAGCCCTGTGTCTGGTGTTTTACCTGCATGTGTATAAGTGCGCCCGTGTCATACAATACCTGTGGAGGTCAGAAGAGGGTGTCAGATCCCCTGGAACTGAGTTATGGATGGTTGTTAGCTGCCATTTGGGTGCTGAGAACTGAACCCAGGTCCTCTGCAAGAGCAGCCAGTGCTCTGAACTGCAGAACTACCTCACCAGCCTCTACTTTCTTCAGTGGTGCTGAGGATTGAACCCAGGTCCTCCTGCATGTTAAGCTGGCTCACTGCTACTAAGTCTCACACACACCTCCAATAACCACTTCTTTTTTTTAATATTTTTATTTTATGTGTATGAGTGTATTACGTGCATGTATGTGAGTGCAACCGTGTTGTGCAATGCTGCGGAGGTCAGAAGAGGCTTTGGATTCCCCTGGAACTGGAGTTAAGGACGGTTTGTAGCCTCCATGTGGGTGCTGGGAATCGAACCCGGGTCCTCTGCAAGAGCAGTCAGTGCTCTTAACTGCTGAGCCATCTTTCCAGCCCTTCCAGTAACCACTTCTATTTTTGTTGTTGTTTTGGTTTTTAAAATAATTTTATGACATTTTATTTATTGTGTATGCAAGCTCATGGGCCCTTGCATGCCTGTGGATATCAGACAGAAGCTTGGGAGAGTCAGTTTTTTTCCTTCCACCATGTGGGTCCCAGGGATGAGCTCAGGTCTTCTGGCTTAACGGCAAGTAGTGCTTCTTACCCATCTGCTGAACCATCGCTGCCATTCCCTATTGTTGTTTAAGATTTATTTCTTTTTCTTTTACGTGTATGAGTGTTTTACCTACATAATATAAGTACATTATGTGTGTTTCTGGTGCCCTTGGAGGTAAGAAGGCATAAGATCCCCTGGAACTGGAGTTACAGACAGCTGTGAGCCATTATGTGGGTGCTGGGAATGGAGCTCGGGTTCTGTGCAAGAATAGAATAGGCAGTGTTCTTAACCATTGAGCCATCTCTTGGGTTTTTTTTGTTTTTGTTTTTTGTTTTGGTCTTTTTGAGACAGGGTCTCCCTGTAGCCCCAGCTGTCCTGGAACTCACTATGTAGACCAGGCTGGCCTTGAACTCACAGAGATCCACCTGCCTCTGCCTCCCAAATGCTGGAATTAAAGGTGTGCGCCACCACACCCGGCACCACCCGTTGTTTTAAAGAGGGTCTCATGTAGCCCATGCTGGCCTTGAACTCAATAGGTAGCCAAGGATGACCTTGAACTCCTGATCCTCCTTCCTCCACCTTCTGAATGCTAGGATTTGCAGGTACCCACCACCACACCCAGTTTATGTGGTGCTGGGGGTGCAACGCAGGGCTTCATGCATGCTAGGCAAACGCTCTACTAATGGAACTACATGCCCAACCCTAGTTTGACCTCTTGATTCAGTGTATTTGAGGATAGGGACCAGGCATAGTTGTCCAACTTAGATGTTTAGCCCGAGTGAGTGTGTGACACTTGACGATGCAAACACACTTATCTTGAGAGCTCAGCTGTGCACTAGGCTGTGTGGTTGTCATAGTCAGTATTTCTCATAGCTCCTCCATTAGTTTCATAAGGATATAGCAACTGCGCCGGTTTCCTACAACAAGCATATTTAGGAAGTTCTCAATACACTTGTACTGTTGGTGATAAACAGTGCTGGGGTGGAATGAGGCTCCACAGTAGATCACGTGCCTTGAGAGGGACTGAGGATGTGGCTCAGTGGTAGAGCACCTGCCTAGAATCCCCCATTGAGGGCCTGGGGCTAGGGCTCAGTGGTAGATAGATTACCTGCCTGGAATTCCTCAGTGAGGGGCTATGGATGTCACTCAGTGGTAGAGTACTTGCCTAGAATCCCCCAGTGAGGGACTTGGGGTGTGGCTCAGTGGTAGAACATCTGCCTAGAAATCTTTCAGTGAAGGGCTATGGGTGGGACTCCGTGGTAGAACAGTTGCCTAGAATCCCTTAGTGAGGGGCTTGGGACTGTGGCTCAGTGGTAAAGTCTTTACCTAGCACTGGTCAGGCCCTGGGTTCGTTCCATCCCCAGCAACAGCAAAAACAAATCCAAACATCACTTCATGCTGGGACACAGGCCAGAAATCTCATTCCCTTTTCCATTTGCTACAGTGTGTAGAGGAGAAACTATGGTACAGTGGGCATATGCTGTTCCCCCAGACACTCAGCTAGTCCATGATGGAAGATGGATAGATTCCAAGGCCAGGCCTCTGGTCCTCAGACCCTAGTTCTTTCTCTTATACCCCTTCAAAGTGGAGGAAATGGTGAACAAGGACCTGCAGGGGCCCTGCCAGAGTGCTGGGTAAACACCTGGGTGCCAATAATAGTTTCATCCTCTCCTGGGCCTCATCCCTAGCATTAGCCATCCTGGGCTTACCCAGCGCTGAGTATATAGATAGTCAGGTATAACTGCTTCCCTAGGACCCACCTCCAACTCAGCCCCTCTAGCTTGCACTCTCTCTAATGTTGAGTTGGAGTCTGAGCCCAAGGTAGTGGGTGTGACCAGGTCCTCTGGCCACCAGCCTCCTGGGGATGGTGCACCTGGTTTGTCAGAGCGCCAAAAAGAGCTTCTATTTATACAATCAGGATCCAGCTGGTTTATTTAAAGCTTTGAAGATCACCAAAGAGAGCCAGCTCCAAGCTGGAAAGGCCTGCTTGTCCCATCTGATGCAGCTTCTAGAATATTCCATAAAGATCCACTAACACCTACCAGGTCCCCATACTGACCCAATCTGGCACGAACCTGCCCCTTTGTAGCCCCCCTCAACATTCTGAGAGGATTTATCCTACTTTCATTCCTGTTACTGTGATAAAACACACTGACAAAAAGCAACTGAGGGGAAGAGGAAAGGGTTTATTTGGCTCACAACTCCAGATTGTGGTCCATCATTGAGGGGGGGTCAAGGCAGGCACTCAAGCAGCTACTCACATCACATCCACAATCAAGAGCAGAGAGTTGACATACCCATGCTGCCTGCTTGCCTGCTGCTTCTACTCAGCTAGTTTTCTCTCTCACACACAGTTCAGGGCCTCGTCTAGGGAGTGGTGCTGCCCACAGTGGGCTGTCTCCATTAACAATCAAGGATGTCATCGCCTACAGATTAGACACTTGCCCACCCAATGCAGATAATTCTTCTCTTTCCCAGATGTGGTAAATTAACTTTTTCTTTGGTCTTTTTTGAGACAGGGTCTCCCCGTAGCCCCAGTTGGCCTGGAACTCACTATGTAGACCAGGCTGGCCTGGAACTCACAGAGATCCACCTGCCTCTGCCTCCCGAGTGCTGGGACTAAAGGCATGAGCCTCTATGCCCCCGAGGTAAATTGACATTTTAAAATGACTAGCAGAGGGTCTTTATTGTTGCTCATGTGAACAGAGCAGAAAATGAGGGCTGAGACTGAGAGAGCATGTTAGTATGCAAGTACAGACTGGGGCACAGGAAACATTCACAGAGCCGAAGCTCAGAGCCAGGACTGATGGGCTCCTCTGAGTGATCACAAACTGAGTCCCAGATTCTGATGCCCAGAATCACACAGCAACCTAGATGTGCCAGGGATGAGACCCACAGTGTGTGCAAATGGCTGACCCTAAGGGGGGAAGTTGAGGCAGGCCTTGATTATTCATTCATTCATTCACTCGTGTATCAGGTTCTGCAGCTCAACATGCAGGGAAGACATCCCAGCAGGAGAGGTGGGTTTTGAAACTTGTACTTTTGTCCCACAGGAGGGCCCCTGTGGAAGGATCCAGAAGCAGGACACCCTAAGAAGGTGCAGCGATGCGAGGGTGGTGGTGGCCGGAGCATCCCGCGGTCCTCACTGGAGCACAGCTCAGATGTGTACTTGTTGCAGAAGATGGTAGAAGAGGTGTTTGATGTTCTTTATAGTAAGGTCCTTCCTCATTCCATTTGGGGGTATGGGGTGTGTGAGAGGCCAGCCTATACCCAGACCAACCACTCCCCACCCACCTGTACCCTGCTCATCTCAGCCCCACCCTCCTAGCTCAGGCTAACCCCTCAGTCCAGCTCTACCCAGACACATCCTGCCAAGTTCAGCTCAGCCTCACTGTACCTTGCTGAGCCCTGCCAATCCTGGCCCCGACCTGCCAGCTACATCCCTCTTTAGCCCAACTAAACTCCATACTGCTTAGCCATGCCCACCTAGGCCCCACCCCGCCCTGTTAGCTAAGCCTAGCCCCACCCAGCCGTACTTGAGCATCCTAGCCCCATGAGCTCTCCCCATCCCTATCCAGCCCTGCCTGACTCAACTCTACCCACTTCAGCCTGGCTCTCCCTAGCACTACCTTGTGTAGCCCTACCCCACTCAGATCATCCCTGCCCAGCCTCAGTCTAGCCCTACCCAGCCCTACCCTTCTCAGCCTACCCCTTGCTCAGCTAAGCTCTGAAGTAAGACCCCAGGGCATGGGCTTTTCCCACCCCAGCTTTTTCTTGGGCCTATACCATGAGACATGTATGTCCCACCCAGCCACCTTTCCTGCACAGCCTCTCCCAGACCCCTGCCCTGGCACACTTTGTCCTCCAGCAGATCATTTACTGTAGGCTCAAAGCCATCTTCCCAAAGCACAAGGCTTAGGTTCAAGTTCAGTGCACATTCACTGGGGAAATCATGGTCCCTACTGCCTGGCATTAGGGTCTTCCTGTCCCTCCTTCCAGCCCTTAGATGCACCTAGTGTGGTCTTCTCTACAGCCTGGTGTAGTTCATTCTATACCATGTCTGCAGTGATGAGGGACCCAGAGCCGCTCTCCACGGGGAGTCTCCCCACATTGCCTGACTCTGAGTGCACCTATGCTGAGCCCCACTGTTCACTCCCTAACAGGCGAAGCCCTGGGCAGGGCCAGCGTGGTGCCGCTACCCTATGAGAGGCTGCTTAGGGAGCCAGGCCTGCTGGCTGTGCAGGGGCTGCCTGAGGGTCTGGCCTTCCGGAGGCCAGCGGAGTATGATCCCAAGGCACTCATGGCTATCTTGGAGCACAGCCACCGAATCCGCTTTAAGCTCAAGAGGTAAGCCCCTGTCCTTGATTCATTTCCTTTTGCTGTGATAAAATACCCTGAAAAAACAACTTGAGGGAGAAAGGGTTTATTAGGCTCTCAATTCTGTTACAGCCCATTGCTGTGGGCATCAAGACAGGAACTGGTCACATCACAGCCACAGTCAAGAGCAGAGCACACGGGTTGGAGAGATGACTCAGCGATTAGGCACTGACTCACTGACTGCTCCTGTAGAGGGACCTGGATTCAATTCCTAGCGCCTACATGACAATTAACAATCCTCTATAATTCTAGTTCCATGGGATCCAGTGTATGCCCTCTTCTGGCCTCTGTGGGCACTACATGCATGTGGTGTACTTACATCCAAGGGGATCTCTGTGTTTGAGGCCAGCCTGGTCTACATCACACATTCCAGGCCATCTGGGACTACAGCAAGACCCTGTCTCAAAAAACAACAACAAAAAAAAAGTAAAATCTTTTTTAAAGAAGAACAGAGGCCAGGTGTGGTGGCTCATACCTTTAGTCCCAGTACTCTGGAAGCAGAGGCAGGTGGATCTATGTGAGTTCAAGGCCAGCCTGATCTACACAGCAAGTTCCAGGCCAGCTGGGGCTACAGAGACCCTGTCTCAAAAAGACCAAAAAACTAAAAAATGAAAAAGCAGAGATGAATGAACGAATGCATGCCTAGTGCTCAGCTCGCTTTCTCCACTGAGATATATATATCTCAATAGTCAGGATCCCCTGCTAGGGAATGGTGCCGCCCACAGTGGTCTGGGTCTTTCCAACTCAGTCTAATCAAGACAAATCCCCACAGGCCAACCTAATCTAGACTATCCCTCATTGAGACTCTCTTCCCAAGTAGGTTGTGTCAAGTTGACAATTAAAGCTTGTTGGATGTGACGACGCACACCTTTAATGACAGCACTCAGGAGGCAGAAGCAGATAGATCTCTGGGAGATCAAAGTCAGCCAGGGCTACTTAGTGAGACTGTTTCAAAATCAAAACAGCAACAATAAAAAACCAAAAGAACTAATCCTCGGAGCCCATGCCCAGTTGGGGGGCAGAAGGCTTGAGACACCTGAGAGGACATTTGGGAAAACTCTGCATGCAATGAAAGAAGCAAGACTAAAGCCGAGCCAGGCATGGCTGTGGACGTCTCCCACGGCATTTATGTGTTGAAGTATCTGGAAGAGTTCAGACTTGGGAGAGTCCTATCAAAGACCTTGCAGGTGTCAGGGGCAAGCTAAAGAAATGTAGAGTTGATAGTCACAGGCCTGTAATTTCAGCACTTGGGAGGTGGATCTGAGAGGGTCAGGAGTTCAAAGTCATCCTTGGCTACATATTAAGCTCATGGCCAGTCTAACTTGATAGCCAGATTCCATATTCAAAAAATAGTAATAACTGGGTATGGTGGTATGTAGTTGTAATTCTACCACTCAGGAGGTAGAGGCCAGAGGATCAAGGAGTTCAAGGTTGTCCTTGGCTACTTAGCAAGTTCAAGGCTAGATTTCATATAAAAAAATTTTTAAAGGTAAGGCTGGACAGATGACTCATTGGTTAAGAGCATTTGCTGCTCTTGCAAAAGATCTGGGTTCAGTTCCCAGCACTATGTCAGGCAGTTCACCAGCTCACTGCAGCTTCTAACTCTGCTTCAGTGAATCTGATGCCCTCTGCTGGCCTCAGAGAGTACTGCATATACACACACACACACACACACACACACACACACACACACACACACACCCTCCCCTATATACATAATTAAATATAAATGGGGCTGGAGCACGATGGCTCAGCAGTTAAGAGAACTGTCTGTTCTTGCAGAGGACTCAGGCTTGATTCTCAGCATCCACGTGGTAGCCAACAACTGTCCCTAATTCTCCCTAGGGATCAGACACCCTCTTCTGGTCTCTGCAAGTGTTGTCCAATTTGGGAGCACTTACACACAGGCAAAGCACTCATGCACATAAAATAAATAAATAAATCCCCTCCAAATTTAAAATAAACTTTTAAAAAGAACCTGTTGACTGTGCATGGCCATGCACATCTATAATCCCAGCACTGGGGAAGCTGAGTCAGGAGGATCAGGAGTTCAAGGTCATCCTCAACTACATAGTGATTTTGAGGCCTGGGTTACATGAGACCCTATCTCTAATAACTCAATTTAAAGTATCTTGGTGGGGGGAGCTTGGGCTGTTTGTGGGTGAGACACGCGAGGGACTGACGAGGTGAAGTTAAGGCTACCCAAGGCAGGTACTGCCTTTCCTACCAGGGGTTTAAAGTTGCACCCAGCTGCCAGGTTTTTCCCAGCATGCATGAGCAGGCATGGGAGAGATGGACGGGATGGGAGGGAGCCAGGTGGGGTAGGATTGGTGGTTTGCAGCACTCTGGCCTGGGGTAGACCTGGGTCCTACAGTGACTCCGCCTGGTCTCAGGTATCTAATGCCCATTTCCTAAGCCTGTGTCCCTACCTATAAAGAGGGGCCTGACACCCAGCTCAGATTTTGGAATACTGGGTCAGCCCAGGTCTGCTGTTTTCTGTTGAGGGTTACACAGGCTGTGAAGGGAATGATGGACAGGCAGAGTGAGTATTCAAAACTCACCGTTTCTCCTTTGTCCAGGCCTCCTGATGATGGTGGACGGGACTCAAAGGCACTGGTGGAGCTCAATGGTATCTCTCTGCTACCCAAGGGGTCGAGAGATTGTGGTCTGCATGGCCAGGCCCCCAAAGTCACTCCCCAGGACCTGCCCCCAGCTGCCACGTCATCCTCCGTAGCCAGCTTCCTGTACAGCACTGCAATGCCCAACCACACCATCCGGGAACTCAAGCAGGAGGCGTCTACCTGCCCACTGACTCCCAGTGATCTGAGCTTGGGTTGGCATATGCCTGAGACCCAGGTTCCCGGTACCCAAGACTTCTCGGACTGCTGTGGTAATTGCCACCTGGGGACCTGTATGTCTTGGGGTGGCCGCCCACAAAGAGGAGACATTTCTGGCAAGGGGTGGGCTTTGCTGGTGGTGTCCTGCTAAGACCCAGTTAGAAATGGGCCTCCACTTGACCTTTTGAGTAGACCTTAATCAGAACTCCCTCAGGAGGCTGTGAAGGCTATAAATAAAATAATTAGGGCTGATGAGATGGCTTAGCAGGTAAAGGTGCTTACGGCCAAGCCTGATGACCTGAGTTCAGTCTCTGAGACCCACATGGTAAAAGGAGAAAATCGACTCCCAAAAGTTGTCCTCTGACCACCACGCGCACACGCACAATATAAATAAATAAATGAATGAATAAATAAATAAATAAATAATAAATAAACTTAACAACTAAAGTTATCTGCCCATATGCATTTTTAAAATTTTTATTTATTTAATGTGTATGAGTGTATTGCCTGCATGTAAGTACACTCGTGTCATGCAGTGCCTGCGGAGGCCAGAAGAGGGTGTTGGATCCCCTGGAACTGGACTTACAGATGGTTGTTAGCTTCCATGTAAATCTGGGTCTTCTGCAAGAACAACCATTATTCTTACCCACTGAGCTATCTCTCCAGCCCCTGCTCATAACCATTTAATGAGCACCTACTATATACCAAGCTTGGATTCAAGGTTTGGGGTGCATAAGAGAAGGAACAGCGGAGTGTGAGGAGGATGTGGTTCTATCCTGCCTCCTCTATGGCTGTGTATGCCAGGGCAAGTCTCACTCTCTCTGAACCTCAGTATTCTCATCTATAAAATGGGCCTGCTTGTATCAGTGCAGTGTCCATTTCTCTAAGATGCTTGGTATCAAGATTCCTAAAGTAGAGGCTGGAGAGATGACTCAGAAGTTAAGAGCACTGGGTACTCTTCCAGAGGACACAGGTTCAGTTCCCAGCACCCACAAGGCGGCTAACAACCATCTGTAACTCCAGTTGCAGGGGATCCGATACCCTCTTCTGCCCTCCGCAGGCATTGCATGCACATAGTGCACCTACATACATGCAAGCAAAACAGTCATACACATAAGACTAAAAAAAAAAAGAATCCCAAAGTAGAAGTTTCAGATTTAGGAGCTGGGGATGTGACTCGGGTGGTAGAGTGCCTGCCTAGCATGCACAAAGCCCTAGGTTCTATACCCAGCAGTACATAAAGCAAGATGTGGTGGTGTACACCTATAATCCAGCACACCAGAAGTAGAGGCAGGTGGACCAGAAATTCAAGGTCATCCCCTGCTACATCTGTACTTCCAGCCCAGTCTGGGCTACATGAGACCCTGTCTCAGTCCTCCCTGACCAAAGAAAAGATGTGCAATCCAATGCACGGCACCTAGTAGGTGATGTTGTATTTACTGTTATTATCAAAAGGAGGGGGGAAAAGACACAGACCCCTGGAATCCTTACCTGGAAAGTGTGACCCCTGGGACCACCAAGTTAGCGTAGCGGGTAAAGGTGCTTGCAGCAAAGCCTGATGACTACATGGTGGTAGGAGAGAACTGAATCTCACAAGTTGTCCTCTGACCTCCCCACATGCGAACAACCCACCCCAAATAAATAATTAAAAGAATAAATTTTTAAAAAGGATAGAGGGCTGGGGAGATGTCTCAGAGTTTAAGAGCACTGGTGCTCTTGCTAGATTCAGTTGCCAGCATCCACATGGCAACTAACACCTGTCAATAACTCTAGTTCCAAGGGATCTGACACCTTCTTCTGGCCTCCGCAGGCATTGTATACACATGGTACACCTACATGCATGCAGGCAAAACACTTATACATACAAATAATTAAAAGAATAGGTGACCGGACTTCTGACATCCTGCTCTTACGGACCCAGCCTCTGGGTATAGCAAATTCTGGTGTAGAGTACTTGAGAGTCTGGTTAGAGAACCATCCTGCAGCTCATGGTCACAGGGCTTGTTGCTGGTTTCTCCTGGTATGTGGTACTGTTAGCCCGGGACTGGAGTCTGTGTACAGGGGATTAGGTGTGGGGCCCCTCCCAAATGTATTTCTCTCTTCCCCCTTGTTCAGGACAGAAGCCTGCAGGGTCTGTTGGGCCTCTCATTCAGAATGTTCATGCTTCTAAGCGCATCCTGTTCTCCATCGTCCATGACAAGTCAGGTAGGCCAGTAACCTGGCCAGTGTGGGCATCTTTGGAGGTGTAGCTCTACCAAGGGGCTATGACTCAAACCAGGGTATGGTAGCTGTTGGCTGCTATATTACAAACATCCCCCAAATATAGCTTAACTGTTTGTTACCACACAGTTTCTGTGCATGAATTAGTTTTCTCATTGTTGTGATAAAATATCTGATATTCCTCCTTGTGAAAGAATTTCAAAAGCTAGGGAGCTGGTTGTGGTGGCCCACACTTATAATCTCAGCACTCTGGAACTGGGGCAGGAGGCTCTCCAGTTTGAGGCCAACCAGGGATATATAGCAAGATCCCTCTTAAAAGAATAAGAAAAGGAAAGGAAAAGAAGAACCTATGTGGGACCGAGAATGTGGTTGAGCAGTTGAGTGCCTGTTTAGAATTTCTTAAGGAACGGGCTGGGGTATTGCTCAGTGCTAGAGCCTAGAATCCTCCAGTGAGGGGCTCAGTGGTAGAGCACCTGCCTAGGATATCCCCCCCCCCCCCGGGGAGGGGCTGGAGGCTTGGCTCAATGGTAGATCACCTGCCTAATATGCAAGTGTCCTTGTTCCATGACTAGCACTGCCAGATTTATCAAAGCATAACACACACCTATAATTCCAGTACCCAGAAGGCTAAGGCAGGAGGATTTCAAGTTCCAGTCTGGCCTGGTCTCCATAGTTAGATTCTCCTTTTTTAAGGAATGTGGCTATCCCTGGCTCTTGCCTGTCTGAGGGAGGGTAGACTGGAGAGAGGTAGGCCTAAGCCCATACAGGGCACACAGACCTTTAGTTGGGGACACCAAAGTGGTCTTTGAGGCCACTGAGAGAGAGCAGAGGGGAACACCATCCAAACACCCCAAATGGCTTAGGGACTGAGGTGACAGTGGGTTGGGAAGGCTGTATGCCTTGAAGTGGGAGCACACGCAGCTCCCCAGCTGGTAGAGTGAGAGTGGCTAGAATTGGGGACTCTGGCAGGAGGCAGGGTGGCAGCTCTCCCAGTGGAGAACCAGCTCTCACTGGGCCTTCTGTGTTTTTAGAGAAGTGGGACGCCTTCATCAAGGAGACAGAGGACATCAACACACTACGGGAGTGTGTGCAGATCCTGTTTAACAGCAGATACGGTGAGTGGGTGGCGGGCCGCTGGGTGAGCATATCATTATGTGTGGCAATTGCTTGTGTTCCCCAACACGGCAGCGGCAGCCATATGCTGGCGCCCGCGCAGCGTCAACATGGTTGTCATCCGGCGTGGGCTCTCTCCTGTCTGGGGAGGGGGTGGTTGTGTCAATATTTCCCTTGCAGCTTGTTTCTGGGGGTGGGATGATGGCAGATCCCCAGACCTTAAGTCACCTGTGGGGAAATGGGCACGAGTACACACTGCCTCTCTGTTAGCTTGCACTGGCCCCACAACCCCATGTTGTTCTCTGTTTTGTGTGTGCATACAAGTATATATGTGCATGCATGCATGTGTGTGTGTGTGTGTGTGTGTGTTTGTGTGTGTGTGTGTGTGCACGTGCGCACTCATGTTGAGGCCAGAAGATAACCTCAGCTATCACACTTTAGGAGTCATCCTTAGGTTGTTGTTTTGTTTTTGAGACAGGGTCTCACACTGTAGCCCCAGCTGGCCTGGAACCCACTATGTAGACCAGGCTGGCCTCAAACTCACAGAGATGCACCTGCCTCTGCCTCCCAAGTGCTAGGACCAAAGGCATGTGCTACCACATTGGTATTTGTGGTTGTTGAGATCGGGTCTCAGGTAGCCCAGGGTAGCATCGAAATTGCTGTGTAGATGAGGCTGGCCTTGAACTTGTGATCCTCTTGCCTCCTGAGTGCTGGGATTGTATGCAGTGCTGGGGCTAAAACCCAGGGTTTTGTGTGTGGTGGTACATGCCTTTAATCCCAGCACTCGGGAGGCAGAAGCAGGTAGATCTCTTGTCAGATTGAGGTCAGCCTAGTCTACATAGTGAGTTCCAGGCCAGCTAGGGCTACAGGGAGACCCTGTCTCGAAAAGCCAAAAAAAATTTTTTTTTAAATTTGTATATGAGTGTGTTGGGGTGTGTGTGTGTGTGTGTGAGTGTGTTGGTGTGTGTGTGTCCACATGTGCATATGTACCACAGTACAAGTGTGGCAATCAGAGGATAGTTTGTAGGAGTCCTTTTTCTCCTTCCACCATGTAGATTCCAGGGATTGAAGTCAGGTCGTCAGGCCCGGCCGCCAGCACCTACCTTTACACACTGGGCAATCTCGCTAGCCATGTTTTTAGCAGGGTTTCTTACTGGCCAGAAACTCACTAAATAAACTAGGCTGACTGGCCAGGGAACCCCAAGATTCCCCCTGTCTCCCCAGTTCCCAGTGTTGGGATTTCAAACACAAGTTATCACCTCTGCCTCTTTTTACATTACTTTTGAGGAGTCAGATCCAGTCCTTACACTTGCAAATCAAGCCCGTTACTGATGGATGGAGCTAAAATGGTTTTAATGATATACACTGATTTGTTTATTTGCATGTACGTGCGCATGTAATGGCAGGCATGTGGAGGTCAGAGTACAACTTGCAGGAGTCTGTTCTTCCATCATGTGGTTACCTAGAATGAATCTCACATGACACCACCACATCCAGTTTATGCCGTGTTGAAGATGGAACCCAGGGCTCTGTGCATACTAGGAAAGCACTACCAATAGAGCCTCATCCCGTACTTTTTGTTTGTTTGTTGTGGTGGTTTGATTTTTGTTTTATTTTGGTTTTTTGTTGTTGTTGTTGTTTTTTTTTGTAGACCTTTTTTTTTTTTTGGTTTTTTTTTGTTTTTTTTTTTTTTTTGTTTTTTTTTTTTTTTGAGATAGGGTCTCTCTGTGTAGCCCTGGCTGGCCTCGAACTCACAGAGATCCACCAGTCTGCCTCCAGAGTGCTGGAATTGAAGGTGTGTGCCACCATGCCCACTCCTTTATTTGTTTTTGTTTTTCTTTGTTTTTCAGACAAGGTCTTATTCTGTAATCCAGGCTGGCTTTGAACTTTTTCTCCTAAGTGTTGTGATTCCAGGTGTGCACCACCGTGCCAGGCCCCCCTGCTCTGTTTACCTGTTCTATGTCCTCTGCTTGGCAGGTCTCTTAAATTTGGAGGAGGCAAACTCATAGTGCCCAAACTGGACCCATGAAGATTTCCTTCTTTCCATGAAGATTTTACGAAGCTGAGTTTCGTAAAACATTTAGCAGTTTGTCCCCAGTACAGAGCTTGTCTGAGAGAAGGTACCAGCCCACATGACTCACACAGCAATCACTGAGACATAAGGTCATAATAGGTATGCGTCCTCCACACTGGTGACTTTCTGTCAAAATACCCCAGTACCTGATGCCAGAAAGTCACTTATATGTAGGAGGCGTGCAGCAGTGGACCCCTGTATGCATGTAACTATGGATGGTGCACACTTGTAATGCTAGCATTCCAGAGGGTGAGGCAGAAGGATTGATAGTTCCAGGCCAGCCTAGACTACAGAGAGAGGGGGGCTACAGAGACAGCTCAGCAGTTAAGAACACTAGCTGCTCTTGCAAAGACCTGGGTTCCATTCCTAGCACCCAAATGGCAGCTAACAACAGTCTGTAACTTCAGTTCCAGGGGATCTACTGCCCTCTTTTGTTCTCTGTGGGCATTGCACACACATGGTACACTTACATGTATGCTGGTAAAACACTTATACACATAAAAAATAAAAATTACTTAAAATAAATTTTAAGATAGACGAAAAGGAGCATGGTTGTGCACACCTTTAATCCCAGCACTCTGGAGGCAGAGGCAGGCAGATCTCTGTGAGAGTGACCTATGTAACAAGTAGGTCAGCATGACCTACGTAACAAGTCATCCAGCCAAAACAGAAACAAAAAAAGAACAAAAAAGCAGGGCTAATGATGTTCCTCAATTTGCAGCGCCTGGCATGTATGAAGCCCCAGGTTCCATCCCCAGCACTGCATAAACTGAGCAAGGTGTTGCACACCTGTGATCCCAGCACTTGGGAGGTGGCAACAGTGTGATCAAGAGTTCAGGGTCACTGGACAGACTGCATGGTGGCACATGCCTCTAATCCCTCTGGTCTACATAGTGAGCTCCAGGCCAGCCAGTGCTACACAGTGAGTCCGTGTTTCAAAAACAGAACAAAATTGGGCTGGAGAGATGGCTCAGTGGTTAAGAGCACTAACTTCTCTTGCAGAGGACCCAGGTTCAGTTCCCAGCACCCACATGACAGCTAGCAACCATCCATAACTCCAGTTGTGTGACGCCCTCTTCTGACCTTACTTGGCATTCCACAACCACAACATGGGTGCACTTACACACATGCAGGCAATACACTCATATACATAAAATAAAAATAATGAATAAAATATTTTTTAAAAATAGAACAAAATGATAGTTCTCAGTATAGGGCTAAAGAGATCATAGGGAATTCAAGAAACTATTGCTCAAGATCTGCAGGCAAGAAGGGCGGCTCCCAGACAGGAGGTGGTGGTGGGGAAGACATGATTTGACAGCTGGTGAGACTTCGAGGGTTTAATTTGACAAGGAGCTAAATGTGAGTTCCCACAGTGGAGCTGGCTGCCAACAGAGCCAACGCAAACAGACCTGGGAGGCATCAACAGGAAAACAGTGAGCTACATTCCAAGCAGCCCAGGCTGTTCTGCCCAACCCTACCCTGGGCAGGGAGTGGCCAGAGGGCAGCTCTGGGCTACAAGGTCATGACACTGAGCACAGGCAGGGCTCCATGTTGGCACACATCTTTAATCCCAACACTCAGGAAGCAGGGGCAGGTGAATCTGTGTGAGTTCAAGGCCAGCCTGGTCTATGCAATAAATTCTAGGACAGCCAGGGCTATATACTGAGACCCTGTCTCAAAACAAAAAACAAGTAAACAAAAAAGCAGGACTAGAGAGCTGACTTAGTGCTTAAGAGCTGGCTACTCTTCTAGAGGACCTGGGTCCAGTTCCAACACCCACAGGTGGCTAATACCCACCTTTAACTTCAATTCCACAGGATCTGATGCTTCCTTCTGGATTCTATACACATATGGTTCACATATACAGATGCAGACAAAACACATACATAACAATAATTACCAGTGCTGGCTGTGGTGGTGCACACCTTTAATCTCAGCACTCTGGAGTCAGAGACAGACAGATCTCTATGAATTCAATGTCAGCCTGGTCTACATAGAGAGTTCCAGGCCATCCAGGGCTACACAATGAGACTTTGTCTCAAAAATAAATAGGGGCTGGAGAGATGGCTCAGTGATTAAGAACACTGACTGCTGTTGTAGGGGACCTGGGTTTGGTTCCCAGCACCCACATGGTGGCTAAAAACTGTCTGTAACTCCAGTTCCAGGGGATCCAACACCCTCTTCTGGCCTCTGGGCATTACACATATGGTGTACTTATATTCATGCAAGCAAAACACTCATACCATAAAATAAAAATTAATTAAATATTGATTAAATAGTTTTTTTGTTTTGTTTTTTTTTTAAGTAAGAAACAAGAGAAAAGTGACCTGGTGGTTTCTTTCCATTGCTGCACAGTGAATGAGTGTTAGGTAGGGAACCCATTGTGACCGCAGCCCTGTCCCGTGGTATCCTCTTGCATTCAGCCTTTTCTTTGCTCTTCCAGCCGAAGCCCTGGGCCTGGACCACATGGTCCCTGTCCCCTATAGGAAGATTGCCTGTGACCCTGAGGCGGTGGAAATTGTGGGCATCCCAGACAAGATCCCCTTCAAGCGGCCCTGTACTTACGGGGTCCCCAAGCTGAAGCGGATTCTGGAGGAACGACACAGCATTCATTTCATCATCAAGAGGTATAGGATGTCCTGGGGGCATGGCTCAATGGCAGAGCACCTGCCTAGAATCCTTCAGTGAGGGACTGGGGTGTGGCTCAGCGGTAGAGCACCTGCCTAGAATCCCCCAATGAGGGGCTGGGGGTGTGGCTCAATGGCAGAGCACCTGCTTAGAATCCTCCAGTGAGGGGCTGGGGTGTGACTCAAAGGTAGAGCACCTGTGTAGAATCCCCCATTGAGGGGTTGGGGGTGTGGATCAGTGGTAGAGTTCCTTCCTAATATGTGTAAGGCACTGGATTGTCCCTCTCCAGAATCATGAAAATCAAAAAGAGGAGCAGAAGAAGATTCTGGAGCTCAGAATGGTGCCTGGGAGCCTTTTACATGAAGTGTGCCCCTTCAGCCTGGGTGTCATAAAGGCATCTGACCTTTTCCCTCTCTGTCCCCCCTAACATCTCAGGGAATGACATGGAACCTCTTGCAGTGTGACTTTACCTCCCCCACACTGTACTTCATAAACAATGGTCCCTTTGTTAATCCTGCAGCCACTGGGTCCTTGGGTTATTGGGTGGGGCTGAGAAGGGAAGCAGGCCACAGACAGGAAGTCAGTTTCCTACAGAATTGCCTCTGTGGTTGCCTAGGGCCTTGCGGTATCCAGATGTTTGCCGGCTTCCGGAGCTCTGGGAACAGGAAGGAACCCTTGGCCTCTCAGTAGAGCAGGGAGTCATGTTTAGGCTTTATATCTGGGCCTCAACCTAGCTACCTGGTTCAGTCTGCCTTTACTAGCTTTGGGGGGTTTTGTTTATTTTATTTTATTTTTTTTTCGAGACAGGGTGTCTTGTAGCCCAGGCTGCCCTGGAACTCGTGTAGCTGAGGATGACCTTGAACTACTGATCCTCATTCAGCCACCTTCCCCTAAATGCAGGGATTATAGGTGTGTACTACCACACCTGGATTCTGAATGCCTTTGTAAATTAGTTTATACTGATTGTATAAAATAATAGGTTTCATTCCATTTCTGCACATTGTACCAGGCACTTTGACCATAGTCACCCCTAGTTACATTCTGTTATAGTTTTATTCTGTTGCTCTGATAAAACACTCTGACCACAAGTAACTTAAGGGAGGAAAGGGTCGATTTCCTCCTACAGGTCACAGTCCATCACTGAGGGGAGTCAGGGCCAGAACTCAATCAGGAACCTGAAGCAAAAACCATGGAGGATGCTGCTTGCTGGCTCACTCACAGACTCATGCTCAGCTAGCTTTCTTGTACAGTCCATGACCACCTGCCTAGGGAATGGCGCTACCCACAGTGGGCTGGGCCCTCCTACATCAATTAGCAATGAAGACACTCTCCTATAGACATGCACAGTCTGATCTGGGAGATCCCTCATTTTAGATTCCCTCTTTCCTTGTGACTAGGCTGTGTCACTTTTAACAATAAAAACTGACCAGCATACCTCCCAAAACCATCTCCCTGGTCTCCTTTCTCTTTTGAGATTGTACCCCCTCCTACTTTTGTGTCTTTAACAATAATTATTGTTATTGTTGTTGTTAGCTTTTTGTTTGTTTTGTTTTGAGATAGGGTCTCCCTGTAGCCCTAGCAGGTCTTGAATTTGCTATGTAGATGAGGCTGGCCTCAGTCCCATAGAAATTTGCCTGCTTCTGCCTCCCAAGTGCCACCCCACCTGATTTTTTTTTTTTTAATTTTTTTTTTTTTTTTTTGCTTTTGTTATTGACTTTTTTGAGACAGGGTCTCACTATATCAGCTCATACTGGCCTTGAACTTGAGGTTCTCCCAAATGCTAGGATTATAAGTATGTGCCTTCACACCTGCCATTCTGTTCATGTTTTCTTGGTCAGATCATCTGATGCCTTATCTGCATAGCTTGGTCCATAGTCATGGCCTCCTCCCTGCAATCGGACCATCAGTGATCTGACCTTGTCATGGGATTCAAGAAAGTTCCAGATCTCTTGAGGTGAAAGCCTGTGTGTATGAACACAGCACTGCAGGGACCTCTATTCCAGCCTTATATGTGACACCCCAGCCTCCTCTTTCCTTGCCCAAGTCCGCTACCTTCTAGTAACACCCCTGATTTGAGCCCTTCAGGTCACCTGCCGTGGCTGTGATCTGTTGATGGGTTTGGTTTGTATTGTCTGTCACTGAGCTTGGTGGTTTGGGGTTGAAACTCTCAGTGGACTAATGATCAGGTCTCAGACAGGCAATGTAGCTCAGTGGGTCAAATGCTACCTAGCATACATGAAGCCCTGGGTTCAATCCCCAGCACTGCATAAACCAAGTGTGGTAGTACACAAATGTAATTCTAGCACTCTAGAGGTGGGTGCAGGAGGATCAGAAATGAATTCACTGTTAGCCACATAGGGAGTTTGAGGTTAGCCTGAGCTATGTCAGACCTCGTTTCAAAGAAATGAAACAAGATAGAACAAAAAAGGCCTGAACAGGTCTTTCATGATCTGGGCACTGAATGAAAGGAGTTTCAGATGTTCAACTGCAGGCAAAGAGGGATGAGGGTTGTCAGAGGCTCTTAGTGTTAAACAAATGGGTCCTAGGCCATGCCAGCCCCAGATAAGCAGAAATAATCAGATATTCTGAGATTTCAGATTCTCTCTGTATTCCTTACTTTTCTTGTTGCTGTGACAAAAGCAACTTAAAGAGGATTTATCGTGGCTCACAGTTTGAAGGTGCAGTCCATCATGGTGGGGATGCATGGCGGCAGGAGTGTAAGGCAGCTGCTCACATTCCATCCACAGTCAGGAAACAGAGATGAATGCTGGTGCTCAGCTCTCTTTTTCCTTTTTATTCAGTCCATGGGATGGTGCTGCCCACATTCAGGGTGGGTCTGCCCTCCTTAATTAATCTGATCCTTCATAGACATGCCTAGAGGTTTGTTTCCATGCCGATTCTAAGTCACATCAAGATGTCAAGATTTGCCATCACTTCCCTACTCTTGCCCCACTCTTGGTGTGGCCAAGCCTGTACTCGGGTCTGTCGTTCTCAGAGCCACAGTGGTAGGATCATCACAGAGGGGACCAGCCCGCACCTTTCTTATGCCATCTCTTCTCTCTCCCCAGGATGTTTGATGAGCGAATTTTCACAGGTAAGTAAGAACCACCAGGTCCATTCTGCACTAGGTGCCTGTGTCCCCTTGAGCTGACTCTGTTGTCTGGAGTCCCTTCCTCAGCTGTGCCTTCTGCATCTTGGAATCTAAGTGGGCTCCCAGCCACTGACAGGCTGACTCCTTTTGGACCTTAGAATCTCCTTAGAGAGAGAAATAATTCCATTTGTTGAACACATGTGCCAAGTCCTTCTCAGCTACCTTGATTTGTTTGTGTGTGCATGTATGTATGTATGTGGCTATGTGTGTGATCATGTATGTGTATGTGCATGTGTGTATATGTGGGAGCATGCATAGATGTGGATAGATAGGTATGTCTGCATGTGTGTATGTATGTGATGTGTGTGGTATATGTGTCTGTGCATGTGTGGGTGGGTGTGGTTGTATGTATTTGTATGTATTTGTGTGAGGTGTATGGATGTGTATATATGGATGTGTATGCATATGTATGGGTAGGCAGTGTGCATGTGTGTGTTGTATGTAATGTGTATGTATGTGTAGGTAGGTCAGTGTACCTGTGAATGTGTTTATATTTGTGCATGTGTGTGTAATGTATGTCTGTGTGCATGTTTGTGATGTGTATATCTATGTGTTTGTGGTGTGTGATGTGTGTCTGGGTACGTATGTATATGTCTGTGTGGTGTGTATGTATGTATATCTATGTATGTGCATGTCTCTTGTGTGTGATGTATATATCACCTGTATATTTGTGAGTGTCTGTTGGTGTGATGTGTGTGGGTGTCGTCTTTAGTCCCACTCCCCTTATTCTTTTTGGAGACAGGGTCTTTCCCTGAACCTGGAGCTCAACAGTTGGCCAAGGTTCAGCAGACAGGTCCAGGGATTCTCCTGTCCCCATCTCCCCAGTGCTGGGTTGACAGGCACGTGTCCATACCTGGCTTTTTATGTGGGTGTTGGGGATCCAAACTCAGGTCCTCATGCTGTGGGACAAGCACCCTAACCTACTGAGCCATCTCCCCACCTCTAAGCTGCCTTGTTTTATTTGTTTTTATCTTCCTTCATTTAATTTCTTCTCTCCCTCTTTCCTTTCTCTCCTTTCTTCAGTAAGGTCTCACGATGTAGCCCAGCCTGCCTTCAAACTGTGTAAGGCAGTTGTGTAGCCTCCAATTTATGATGTGTCAGATTGCCCTCAAACTCAAGATCTTCCTGCCCCTGTGTCCTCAGTGCCACCTTATTTTAATTTGATTTCCAGCCACTCTGTGGACATAGTTCTGTTCCTACCCCTATATACAGACAAAACAACTGAAGCTCTGGAGATAGGGCCTTGGCTGCACCCAGACACTGTGACCCCATAGCCTCAGGCAGGACAGCAGGACATGACACTTAGCAGGAGGGTATCGGTTATACATGGGCCAGCAAAATCCACAAATGGGGTGTGGACCTACCTGAGTCCTAATTCTGGCTCTGCCACCCATCAGCTTTGTAACCTTGAGCATTGTTGATGGGCCTCAGTTTCCCCATCTGTGACATGGGGATGGTAAGAAAGCTGTCTAGTTCCTGGTATAATTGAGAATGTGATCCTGTGGTTCAATCTTGGGGGACTGTGGCCTCTTTTATGAGGGTCTTACATTAATATGCCTGGTGGGTGAAGAATCTTCCAGAGGGGGAGGAGGGCTGTACCCAGAAGGTGTGGATGGATAAGTTCCTGGCTATTGCCAGGCTTCTAGCTTCATCCTGTTACCATGACAAACACCATGACCAAAAGCAACTTAGGCAAGGAAAGGTTTTATTTCAGCTTCCAGGTCAAGAGAAGTTGAGGCAAGAACTGAAGCAGAGACCATGGAGGATGCTGCTTGCTGGCTCACTCACAGGCTCATGCTCAGCTAGCTTTCTCATATTGCCCAGGCTCACCTGCCTAGGGAATGGTGCTGCCCACAGATGGCTGGGCCCTCTTACATCAATTAACAATCAAGACAATCCCCCACAGACATACTCACAGGCCAGTCTGATCTAGACAATCCCATAATTGAGACTCCCTCCCCAGGTGACTCTTAAGCTGTGTTGACAGTTAAAGCTAAGACATGGAGCCTAAAAGAAGAGACCAAGACCAGACCCTGCCCTGAGCAGTGCCCCCAGGAGTGTCCCATAGAAGCCACTGCCCTGGTATCCTGCCTACATAAGAGCCTCCATCTTTTTAGGTTTCTCAGACAGGCTCTTACTGTGTATCCCAGGCTAGCTTCAAACTCATGGCAATCCTACCACAGGGTATGAGGATTACGGGTATGCGCCACCACACCTGGCTGAAGAGGCACCATCTTAACTCTCAACTCTTGGGCTGGAGAGATGGCCTGGTGGTTAGGAGCTGCTCTTACAGAGGACCCAGGTTCAGTTTCCAGCACCCATATGGCAGCTAACAACTAACCTTAATTACTTCTAGGGACTCTGACTCACTCTTATGGCCTCTACGGGCATTATATGACATGGTGCACTTACATGCATGAAGGCAAAACATTCATACACATAAAATAAAATGAATAAATTTATTAAAAAATTAACTCCAACTTTTCTCTCAGGGAACAAGTTTACCAAAGACCCCACGAAGCTGGAGCCAGCCAGCCCACCAGAGGATACTTCCATGGAGGGCTGTAGGGCCACCATGCTGGACCTAGGTGGGACTGCTCGGTAAGGTCCCTCCTCGGCTCTGGGATAGGCCCTTGCTTCCTACAGTGTAAGGAGGCTGAAGCCTGAGTGGTTCCTGCCACCCCATGCAGGCTCACAGTCGGTCTCTCTATAAGGACTTTGTACATGCCATCTCCAGGGTAGTGAGCCAGGGGAGCCAAGAGAACAAGGAGGATTGGATCATTTAAGAATCACTTATCTCAGGGGCCTTCCTTTGTTGCCCACATCGGGTAAGCTACCTGCCCTAAGTATCCACCAGGCCTTTGCCTTCTATATGATGCAATTGGCCCTCAGGTGTCCCAACCTAGGCTCCTAGCTGCTGGGAGACAAACATCTGCTGGTTGGGTTCAGCAGTAGAGCAGCTGCCTAGAATCCCACAGTGAGGAACTGGAGATATGGCTCATGGGTAGAGGCACTGCCTAGAATCTTTCAGTGAGGGGCTGAGGGTATGGCTCAGTGGTAGAATACTTACCTAGAATCCTCCAGTGAGGGGCTTGGGGTATGGCTCAGTGGTAGAGCACCTTGAATCCCCCAGTGAGGCGCTTGGGATGTGGCTCACTGGTAGAGCACCTGCCTAGAATCCCCCAGTGAGGGGCTTAGGGTGTGGCTGAGTGGTAGAGTACCTGCCTAGAATCCTCCAGTGAGGGGCTGGGGTGTGGCTCAGTGGTAGAGTACCTGCCTAGAATCCTCCAGTGAGGGGCTGGGGTGTGGCTCAGTGGTAAAGCACCTGCCTAGAGTCCCCAGTAAGGGGCTGGGGTGTGGCTCAGTGGTAGAGCACCTGCCTAGAATCCCCAAGTAAGGGAATAGGGATATGGCTCAGTGGTAGAACTGTCTGGTCTCAGTGAGTAACCAGGGGCATACCTCAGGGTTAGAGTGGTATACTACCTGTCTGGTGTATGCAAATTGTGTCCCTAACCCTGCAAAAAAGGGAGAGGATGGTCCATTTATTCTAAACCCTATGTCTCAGGCCTTGCCCACAGAAGTCTTACAGTCCTAGTTCCCTGCCAAGCACCATCCAGCCTCTATTTTGCTAAGCCTAGAGACCTCCATACTGTTCAGATCAGGCTATGGGATACAGAGCTCTGAGTGGCCAGGAGGGTGGGCATAAGGGTGATCCTGCTGTCTCTGCCTCCCTAGTACTAAGGTCACAAATGGGCTCCACAGCAAAGCTTTTGGGGTTGTTTTTGAAGTGATGGCCAGGCCATCCTGGGAAGGGTGGCTGAAAGCAAAGTCAACACAAGGTCATTTGCCTGCCTTCCTTCCTCAGATCAGAAAAGAGCAGTGTCTCTGAAGAATGTGGGCCAGGTGAGAAGTAACACATCCCTCTGTTTGTGTCCTGGGGCCACAGAGCCAGGAGGGGATAGCCAGGAGCAGGAAACCAGCCCAGGCTGTGAACCCACAGTACTTGAAACAATTTTCTGTCCCTAATCATCCAAAGGCCTCACAACACAAGCAGTGTGGCATTCTGGAAGCTCCTTTGGGGAAGGAGAGCAAACAGAAACAAAGCCCCCACCCCCACCCCATCCTACCACTACTACCCATCCTTGTGTTTGAAGCCAAACAGCCCCATACCCTACCCCTGACCTAAGCTGCAGGTCTGTAAGTTAGAGCTAGATTTGGCTTGAGTTTGTTCAGGGACGTGCCTGACCCTCTGTTCCTGGTAAATGCAGGAACCAAGGGGCCTAAATGACTTTTTCTAGTTGCTCACTGTCAGTTCCCAGAATGTTCTAGAAGGATTTACCTTGTGTGACCAAGCTGACCGGATCCCCTGTTGTTCTCTTTGCAGGAACCTCAGGAGAGCTGGGTATACTGAGGCCCATCAAAATAGAGCCAGAAGAATTAGACATCATTCAGGTTACCATCCCAGGTAAGAAACCAGTATGGAGGGGCTGTGTGTGCTACTGCTCTGGCACAAGCTGTAGGTAGGGGCAGTGCTGCCCTGGTGCCCAGAGCCTGCCCCATCAGGAACACTTTTCAGGCCATTATGTCCAGGGTTTTTTTTTCCACTGCTTGAGATAGACCCCAGGGTCTTCCATGTGCTGAGCCACACCCCAGCCCCTCACTGAGGGATTCTAGACAAATGGAGTACTACTGAGCCATATCCCAGCCCCTCTAGTTAGGTGCCCTACCTCTGAGCCACACCCCAGCCCCTCACTGGGGGATGGATTCTGGACAAGTGCTGTACCAATGAGTTACATCCCCAGCCCTTTTTCCTTTTTATTTATTTGTTTGTGGGGGGATATTTGTTTTTATTTTTTGTGTGTGAGTGTTTTGCTTGAATGTATATAAGTGCACCACATGCGTGTAATGCCTGCAGAGGCCAAAGAGGGCTTTGGATCCCCTGGAACTGGAGTTATAATGGTTGTTAGCCACCATGTGGGTGCTGGAACTGAGCCCACCAAACCACTGAGCCATTTCTCCTGCTGTTTTCCTTTTTATTTTGAGACAGAATCCCACTATATTAATCAGGCTTTGAACTTGCTCAGCAGCCCAGGCAGGCCTTGCACTTTGCAAGTCTTCCCTCACCTTCTAAGGAACTCAGATCATGGGCCTGTACCACCACATTTGAGTGCATGGCTTTCTTTAAGGGTCCTGCTTGACCCACTGGGACACCCTGAGGTCCATGGTCAGTGAGACAGGTGAAAGAGGCCTTCATCATTTGGAGTTTCCTTTCAGATCCTTCACCAACCTCTGAGGAGATGACTGACTCGCTACCTGGGCCTCTGCCCTCGGAAGATTCTGGTTATGGGATGGAGATGCTGGCTGGTAAGAGGTTATCTGGGGGCAATCATTACTGAGGACCTATCTTCCTTTGGAGCCACGTGGGATGGTCAGGAAGCCCTGAACTTCTCTTAAAGTCTGTGCCTTTGTTAGAGAAAATTTGACACCAGTGAGCATGCCTTACATGAGATGCCTGGGAATAGGTCTTTACTGTTTCACATCTGTTTTGGATTTTAAAATATTTGCACTTAATAAGATGTTGTGGGTGGAGCCTAATTAGTCTACACATCAGTTTATTCAGTGTGGCTGAGGCCTAGTGGCACAATGCTTCCCCTAGCATGTTTGAGCTCCTGGGTTCCATCACCAGCAATGCAGGGAGAATTAAAAAATGAACAAGTTAAAATAACTTCCCCAGGCTGGGTATGGTAGTGCACACCTTTAATCCCAGCACTTGGGAGGCAGAGGCAGGCAGATCTCTGTGAGTTCAAGGCCAGCCTGGTCTACATAGTGAGTTCCAGGCCAGCTGGAGCTACAGGGAGACCCTGTCTCAAAAAAGACAAAAAAAAAAAAAAAAACACTTCCCCATGCCATTAATCCCAGCACACAGGAGGCAGACGCAAGTGGATCACTTGTGAGATTAAGGCCAGACTGGTCTACATAGCAAGTTCCAATCCAGATGGCTATAGGGAGACTATCTCAAAAAATAAACAAAAAAATCTCCTCCATGGGGCTGGAGAGACCAGTCAGTGGTTAAGAGCACTTACTGTTCTTGCAGAAGACCTGAGTTCAAGTGTTGTGTCAGGTGACTCAAAACAGATCAAAGGTATCTGATGTCCTCTTCCAGCCTCCATAGACATCTGTACTTTGCGCATACCACCCTCCCATATAGACACACACGTACACATAAATAAAAGATAAAATGAATCTTTTTTAAAAAATAAGAGGGCTGGGGCTGGAGAGATGGCTCAACGATTAAGAGCACTGACTGCTCTTACAGAGGACCCGGGTTCGATTCCAAGCACTCACATGGCGGCCACGAACCATCTCCAGTTCCAGGGGAATCCAAAGCCCTCTTCTGACCTCCGCAGCATTGCACAAAGGGTGCACTCACATACATGCAGGCAATACACTCATACACATAAAATAAAAATAGTAAATAAAAAGGGGGGGCTGGAGAGATGGCTCAGCGGTTAAGAACACTAGTTGTTCTTGCGGAAGACCCAGGTTTGAATGCCAGCACCCACATGGCAGCTAACAACTGTCCGTAACTCCAGTCCTAGGGGATCCGACAGCCTCTTCTGACCTCCATGGCCATTGTACAACATGGGTGCACTTACCTACATGCAGGCAATACACACATGCACATAAAATAAAAATAATAAATGAAATTTATTTTTTTATATGTATGAGTGTTTTGCCTGCACGGATATTAGTGTACCACATGTGTGCAATGGCTGTACAGGCCAAAAGAGGGCCTGAATCCCCTGGAACTAGAGTTACAGATGCTTGTTAGCCACAGTGTGGGTGCTGGGAGCCAAACCCAGGTCCTCTGCAAGAGCAGCAAGTGCTTTTAACCACTGAGCCATCTCTCCAGCCCAATTTTGTTTTTATTTTATTTATTTAATTTTATGTGTAAGTTTTATGCCTGCATGTATGTAAGTGCATCAGTGTTGTGCAGTACCTGCAGAGGCCAGAAGAAGGAGTCGGATCCCACAGAACTGGTGCTGTAGACAGCTGTTAGCTGCTATGTGGGGGCTGGAATTTGAGCCTGGGTCTTCTGCAAAAGCAACTGGTGCTCTTACCCTCTGAGTCATCGCTTCAGCCCTGTGAATTTTTTGTTTTGTTTTTTCATTTTTTTGAGACAGGGTCTCACTGTAGCCACAGCTGTCTTGGAACTCACTAGGTAGACCAGGCTGGCTTTGAACTCACAGAAATTTGCCTGCCTCTGCCTCCCAAGTGCTAGGACTAAAAGCATGCACCACCATGCCCAGCTGTTTGGTTTTTTGGGTTTTTTTTTTTTTGAGGCAAGTTTTCAGTACATTGTACAGCCAGCCCTGAAGTGGTTCAAATTCCCAGTCATCTTGCCTCAGCCTCCTGAGTTTCTAGGATGACAAATGTTTTAGTTTAATGTATGTTGCTGTGATCAAATATGCTAACAAAAACCAGTTAGGTGGGGGGAACCTGTAGAGATGGCTCACTGGTTGCAGGCACTGGCTGCTCTTGCAGAGGACCCAGGTTTGATTCCCAGCACCCACGTGGCTGCTGGCACATCTGTGACTCCAGTTCCAGGTGATCCGACACCCTCTTCTGATCTCCTCGGGCATTATACAACACGAGTGCACTTACACACATGCAGGCAATATACTCATATGCATAAAGTAAAAATAATACTTTTTTATTTTTTAAAGAAGCAATTTAGAGCCGGTCATGGCAGCGCATGCCTTTAATCCCAGCACTCGGGAGGCAGAGGCAGGCAGATCTCTGTGAGTTCAAGGCAAGCCTGGTCTACATAGTGAGTTCCAGGACAGCTGGGTCTACAGAGAGACCCTGTCTCAAAAAGACCAAAAAAAAAAGCAATTTAGGGTAGAAAGGATTTATTTGGCTCACAGTTCCAGGTCATAGTCCATTACTGAGGGGAGTCAGAGCAGTAGCCTGGAGCAGCTTGTCACATCTCATCCACAGTCAAGAACAGAGAGGATCAATGCATGCTTGGTGCTCAACCTGCTTTCTTTTACACAGTCAGGACCCAAACCTGGGGAATGGAGCTACCCACAGTGGACAGGTCTTCCCACCTCGATTAATGTAATCTAGACAGTCCCCCAACAGACCTACCTGATCTAGACAGTTCCTCATGAAGACTCCTTTCCCAGATGAATCTAGATTGTGTCGAGTTGATATTTAAAATTAACCGTCACAACAGGACCAGTCTTTGGTTTTTTGAGACAGGTTCTTGCTCTGTAGCCCAGGCTTTCCTAGAATCCACAATCCTCTTGACTTAGCCTTCTCAGTGCAGGGATGACACTACCACCCATGGCCTCTTTTTAAATTTATTTATTTATTTATTTATTTATTTATTTATTTATTTATTTATTTATTTTGAGACAGTGTCTTATCATGTAGCCCTGACTGGTCTGGAACTCACAGTGTGTAGACCAGGCTGACCTCAAAGTTACAGACATCCAGCAGCCTCTGCCTCCCCAGAGCTAGGATTAAAATCATGCCACCACACCATGCCTGTTTCTATTCTTGTTCATCCCCTTAGTGTCTAAGACAGAATGACTGGGGCCAGTTCCTTGAGGGGCTGCATATCTGATGTTTATAGCCTACTATCCAGACAGGCATTTGTATAGCATGGGGCACCCTACTCCCATTTGGGGGTACTCTATACTTCTCCAGAGTTGAGGCTGTCTAGTGTGCTTTATCATTCTTTTCGCCAGGCTCCCCTGGACAGTACAAGGTCCAGGGAATGAGGGACATGATTTGCTAACAACCTCCATTTTCTCATAGACAAAGGCTCCAGTGAGGATTCAAGGCCAGAAGAGAGACCTGTGGAGGGTGAGGAATTCCCTCTCCCCGTCCACCCCCACTCCCAGCAATTCCCTCTCTTCCCCATCTCTCTGACCTGGGAAACCAGTATGGGCTGGGAGAAAGTTAATAGACTGTTCTACAACATTCAGAAGTACAGCAGCACTTCCTGTAAGGTAAATGGATTTGGGGCTTTGGTTTACACAAACCTGGCTGCTTTCTACAAAGGTTTGAGTTTTAAGCCTTGTCTTCCTGAGCAAGATGGTTTTCGGTTTGAACTTGTAAATCTGTGTCAAATAGATAGTCCAAGGAACTGCTTTATCTCTAGAATGTTGACCCCCTAGAATAAAATGGCATGCATGAGTCAGAAGATAGATACCTCACTTCTAAGACCCAGCCTGACTCAAAATACCAAGTAGTATTAGGAAAAGTTTACCACCCCCTAGTGGCAATGTACTGAATTTGCAGAACTTACTTTGCACCCACTAGTTAAATAATTTCTTGAGCTGCTCTGGAAGAGGTACTGTCCTAGAAGAACCACAGAACCTTCTAGATCTTCACTATGGCTGATTTCACAATCAGATGTACAAATCTAGGAATTGCCATTGTTGTTTTTTTAGGGCATAGGTTAGCTGCCATCACTCTCCCTTGCTCCATTCCAAGGTTCTACCACAGGACAATTCATGCCACCTGCAGAGCTGGGGGTGAGCTAAGAAGTGAGGAGCTTCCACACCTGGGAAACTCAGCACTTTGCCTTTGCCTTCCAGAGAGCCATGGCGATGTGATCCGGCCCCTGCGGAAACAGGTGGAGCTGCTGTTCAACACGCAATATGGTGAGCAGAGAGAGGGATGGGTCCTGGTCCTCCTGGCCTGCAGGACAAGGACAAGAGCAGGGCTAGGGCATGGTTCAGCAGTAGAGCACTTCCCTAAAAATCCTCTATTAAAGAGCAGGGGGGGGCCAGGCGTAGAGGCATACCCCTTTAGTACCAACACTCGGGAGGCAGAGGTAGGCAGAGCTCTATAAGTTCAAGGCCAGCCTGGTCTGCATAGTGAGTTCCAGGCCAGCTGGGGCTATAGGGAGACCCTGTCTCTGAATGAATGAATGAATGAATGAATGAATGAATGAATGAATGTGTGTTTGGAGAAAAAAAAAAGAGCAGGGGGCAGCCAGGCATGGTGGCCCATGCCCTTAATCCCAACACTCAGAAGGCAGAGACAGGTGGATCTCTGTAAGATCAAGGCCAACCTGGTCTGCAATAACAAGTGCCAGGTCAGCTGGGGCTACAGGGAGACCATGTCTCTAAAAAAGACCAAAAAAAGAGCTGGGGGCATGACTTGGTGATATAGCATTTACATAGAATCCCCCAGTGAGCAGCTGTGGGTATGACTCAGTGGTAGAGTACCTGCTAGAACCCCCCAGTGAGGGGCTGGGAGTGTGGCTTAGTGGTTGCGTTTGCTTGGCATGCACAATGCCCTGGGTTCTAGCTAGCACTGCAGTAAAACAGCAGAGTCCAGGAAAGAGGAAGAAAGGAAAGCATGCAGTTCCCTCTCTAGCTCCTTGTGTTTACCCAGTGCCAAGCAAAGTGCTGGCTCCTCTCGTACTCTTTTACTGATTCTCACAGTTCCTGTGTCCTAAGACCATTTTACAAATGAGGAAAGATGAGGCCAGGTACAGTGATGAGACTAGCTCAAGGCCCTGGGCTAGTCAGGAGTGGCATGGCATGAATTTCAGATCTGTCTGGTTCTCCAGGCATGGTGTGGAGTCATGTGGTGGTTTGGGGTTATTTATAGCAGTGTGGTGAATCCAAGGTCAGATCTCAGACACAATCTGGTTTCTCTGTAGTTTGGATCTGAGGGTATGGGTGGAAGGTGGCCCTTGGAGTTCAAGTCCCTCTACCTCAAACAAGTCATGTCTCCTGTGGGCTGTAATGCTGCCTGAAGGTGCCCTCTCCGGAAAGTTAATGGGGTTCAACAGAGAGTTGCTTCCAAAGACTGCCAGCTGCAGCTCCGCAGAGAGTAGGAGGACAAGGATTGGGTTTCTGGGGTGCACTACAACAGCCGTGTCTCTGCAGCCAAAGCTATTGGTACCTCGGAGCCTGTCAAGGTGCCCTACTCCAAGTTCCTGATGCACCCAGAGGAGCTGTTTGTTCTGGGGCTGCCAGAAGGCATCTCGCTTCGCAGGCCCAACTGCTTCGGGATTGCCAAGCTGCGGAAGATTCTGGAAGCTAGTAACAGCATCCAGTTTGTCATCAAGAGGTAAAGTCTGAGCCAGGCATGGTAGCACACGCCTTTAATCCCAGCACTTGGGAGGCAGAACTAGGCAGATCTCTGTGAATTCAAGGCCAGCTTAGTCTTGCCAGTCAGGGCTACATACTGAGACCCTGTCTTAAAAAAACAAAAAGGGACTGGGCTTGGTAGCACATGCCTTTAATCCCAGTACTTGGAAAGCAGAGGCAGGTGAATCTCTGTGAGTTGGAGGCCAACCTGGTCTACATAGTGAATTCCAGGTCAGCTGGGGCTACAGGGAGACCCTGTCTCAAAAACAGACAAAAAAAATGGGGCTGGAGAGGTGGCTCAACAGTTAAGAGTACTGGTTGCTCTTGCAAAGGACCTGGGTTCCGTTCTCAACATCCACATGGTGGCTAACAACTGTCTGTAACTCCAGTTCTGGGGGATCGATCCAGCTCCCTCCTCTGGCCTCTATTTACATTGCACACATGTGGTGCACTTACATGCATACAGGCAAAACACTCATAAACATAAAATAAAAATAAATAAATCAAAAAAGAAAAGAAAGAAAGAAAGAAAGAAAGAAAGAAAGAAAGAAAGAAAGAAAGAAAGAAAGAAAGAAAGAAAGAAAGAAAGAAAAAAAGAAAGAAAGGTAAAATAAGGACTGCAGTGGTCCAGAGAAATGACTTAGGGGGTAAAGGCGTCTGCTGCCAACCTGACTACCTACCTTCATACTCAGGAGAGAACTAACACTCCTGCAAGTTATCCTTTGAACTTTACACATGAACCATGGCATGCTAATTCATATACATTAAATAAATAAGTATAACAAAAAAGGACTGGTGAGACGGCTCAGTGGTAAATGTACTTCCCACCACGCCTGATGACCAGAATTCGATCCCTGGGACCCACATAGTGGAAGAGAAAACTGACTCCTGCAAGTTGTCTGACCTGCATACAGGAGCTGTGGTTTGTGCTTACCCATACACACACACACAGACATACAATCTTTTTTTAAAAAAATATTGTTTGTTTTTTTTAAATTTATTTTTATTTTATGTGTACTCTTGTATTGTCTGCATGTAGGTAAGTGCACCCACATCGTGCAATGCCTGCAGAGGTCAGAAGAGACTGTCGGGATCCCCTGGGACTGGAGTTACAGACAGTTGTTAGCCACCATGTAGGTGCTGGGATTCAAATCCAGGTCTTCTGCAAGAGCAACCAGTGTTCTTAACCACTGAGGCATCTCTCCAGGCCTCCCCCCCTCCTTTTTTTTAATATTTTTATTTTATGTGTACAAGTGTATTGCCTCCTGCATGTATGTGAGTGTACCTGTCATGCAATGCCACGGAGGTCAGAAGAGGGCTTCGGATTCCCCTGGAACTGGAGTTAAGGACGGTTCATAGCCAGCATGTGGGTGCTGGGAATCAAATCCAGGTCCTCTGCAAGAGCAGTCAGTGCTCTTAACTGCTGAGCCATCTCTCCAGCCCCCAGACATACAATCTTAAAAATATTTTTAAGCAACCAAAAAACTTGTTAAATAGGGAGAAGGCCTGGGTAGACCCATGAGATGCAGCATCAGATTTGCCCAGGGCCAGAAGGAGGGCCAGACTAGCAACTTCCAGGTCAAACTGCCAAAGGTTTTTTGCTTTATTTCTTTTTTTTCCATACTTTTTTTTAATTGTTGTTTGTTTTTTCCAGTGTGTTTGGGGTTTAGTTTGGTGTCCTGAGACAGGATCTTACTGTGTAGCCATGACTGGCCTGTAACTTGCTATGTAGACCAGGCTGGCCTCAAACTCAGAGAGATCTGCCTACATCTGGCTCCTGTGTGCTGGGATTAAAGGCCTACACCACCATGTACAGCCTTTGTTTGGGTTTTTAAGACAGGATCTGACTCTAGCTCAGGCTACTCAAGTAACCTTCCTGCCTGCCTCTCAAGTACTCTAGGATTACAGATGTAAACCACCATGCCCTGATTCTAAGCTGCATTAGAACTGAGTGTGATGACTCATGACTGTAACCATAGCACTTGGGAGACTGAGGCAGGAAGATAGTTTGGACCAGCCTGGGCCACACATTGAACTCCAGGTCAGCATTAGTCATATACCAACACCTTGTCTCAAAGCACAAAGGCAGTTGGATGTTGTGATGCACACCTTTAATCTCAGCACTTGGGAGGCAGAGGCAGATGGATCTCTGTGAGATTGAGGCCACCCTGGTCTATTTCGTGAGTCCCAGACTCTGCTTCAAACAAACAAAACCCACAAAGACAAAAGAGGCTTTGGAGATGGCTCAGTCAGTTAAGTGCTTGCTTTGTAAACAGAGGACCCGAGTGCTATCCCCAGTACTTGTATAGTTAAAAAAAAAAAAAAAAGACAGGTGTTGTAGTGGGCACCTCTAATCCCAGTGCTAGGAAGCAGAAAGTCCCAGCCTATCTACAACTCTCCAGCCATTGTAGTCAAATTGGTGGGCTATAGTTTCAGTGATAGACTCTGTCTCAAAACACGGGGTAGAAGGGCTGGAGAATTGGCTCAGTGATTAAAAGCACTGACTGCTTTTACAGAGGACCTGAATTTGGTTCTCAGCACCCACATGGTGGCTAACAACCATGCGTGACTCTAGCTCCAAAGGAAACAACACCCTCTTCTGGGTTCTGCATGCATGTGGTATGCTTACATACGTATATGCAAAACACTTATACATATAGGATTAAAATAAATAACTTGGGGCTGGAGAGATGGCTCAGAGGTTAAGAACACTGGCTGTTCTTGCAGAAGACCCAGGTTCGAATTCCAGTACCCACATGGCACCTAACAACTGTCCATAACTCCAGTTCCAGGGGATCTGATGCCCTCGTCTGTCCTCCATGGGCATTGCACAACACGGGTGTACTTATACATGTGCAGGTAATACATGCATACACATAAAATAAATAAAAATTCTAAAAAAAAATAAAATAAATAACTCTAAGAAAGTTTTTTAATAAAAAATAAATGGAAAGTAGTTAAGAGAAGGTACCCAATCTTGACCTGTCTGGCCTCTGTATGCACCTGCACACACGTGCACACATAAATGCACACATTGTTTCCTAGGTAGTAGTCGCTCACCCACACACATCAAGGCTGTGTGCTCCAATGCTGGGCAGTAGTAATCACATGATATCCATTAGGGAGGGTGCCAGCCCGCACAGGACCTAAAAGGATTCTCAGAACCCAGAGCTGCTGCCAGCTCCTGTGAGCAGGGTGAATGCCCCTGTGTGCCTAGGACCTCAGAGTCCATTGCAGTGGTGTGTAGACTGAGGCCCAGAGGTTCAGTCTGAACAGCCCTGGGATGCTTGGATGACCTCAGGGTCGGCTCTCCTTCTGTTTTTCAGGCCTGAACTACTCACAGATGGTGTCAAAGAACCTATTATGGATACTCAAGGTACCTGGGCGAGATATAGGCATGTGTGGGAGGACACCAGATCCCTGCCATACCCCCTCCTGATGACCCCATCCTACCCCTCCCTCCCCAGGAATTCCTCCACCACCCCTATTGGGTTTGCCCCCTCAGTGCCTCCTGGGGTCCCAGATGCTCCTGCCTCACCTGCCTTCTCTCCCCACCCCATCCCCAGAGAGGGACTCCCGGGACCGTCTTGTGGGAGAGACCCCGAAGAGACAGGGCTTTCAAGGTAAGGGTGAGCCCAGATAAGGTTAGGCATTTAAGGGTTATAACCTTGACTGACTTTTGGGGAGGTGGAGACAGTTGGGGATGGAAAGAGGCTGAACTTGATTCCAGGCTCTTGAGTACCCAATTGAAGACTAGGGCAAGACCATTGCCTTCCAGCTCTGAGGTAGAGACTTTGATTGACTGTAGGGGGACAGGCACAGGGCTCAGGAGCTGGTGGTTCTCTCTGGGCAGCTGCCACCTGCATGTCCATAGTCACTAGCCAGCTCAGTTCTTACTGTTTTGAAATTGGAAGAGGATATGGTGGCCGTTGAGAGCCAGAAAGACAGGTAATGGAACACAGAAAATCTTGAGGGTAGGCTTGTGGACCCCAGTGGAGACCAAAAAAATCCCTCACTGTGAGGGGGCAGCTGGTATTCCCCCCATCAGTAGAGGGTATAGCTGAGAATATTCCATATCCTATGTGTGGGCAGCTCTGTGACTGGCAGGCATGACTGGAGTGAGTCCTTGGGACCGGCTCTCCCACTAAGGGGTCACCATACTAATGAATAGTTCATTGAGGCCTCTGACAGCAAGGAGCAGCTCTGGGGTTCAGAGAGCCCACAGAGGTAAGAGCCAAATTCCAAGACTAGCTGCCAGTCCCCTCAGTCTCCCTTGTTCCTCCCCAAGCAGCTGGAATATTCCATGATAAGGGGAGTTCATGTGTCTCACCTCACCCTGTAGATCTTATCCAGACCCTTAGCAGGGTGGGAATGTCACCAGGTTGCTAATCTAGCAACAGAGGTCACTTTCTCCATTTCCTGCTACGCACACCCTTTGCCTCCTGAGGCTGGTCCAGGGTGTAACTTTTTCCAGGTCAAAGGTGTACCTGCAACTTGCTAGTACAATGTGTTACTTAATAAACAAGCCTAGAAGCAGAAGAGAACCTGCCTAGAATCCCCCAGTGAGGGGCTGGGGTCATGGGAGCTTCCTTAGCATCTGCAAGGCTCTTGGTTCCATCCCTAGTGCCACAAAAAAAAAAACCTCTCCCTTGGTGGACACTGGCATTCTGGCCCTCTGTCTCCTCATGCACTTTACAAAGCCCTTGCTCTACCTGCCATCCAGCTGAGGGCACAGATTCCCCTCTCCTTAGTGTCTCCCTTCTGAGTTTATTAGTTGGTTGGTTTTCAAATGTCAACAATTAATTTCAGCTTTTCGCTGTTGTCGCAACAGTATGCGTCCTTCCAGAAAAAAACACGTCTCTATGTAGACATTAACTCAGAAGGACTCTGAGAGGCCCACTCCAAGAATCTGTTAATTGCCAGAGGAGTTCCCTGTAATTAGGAAATCGTTTCCCTATAAAAGTCACCAAGTGCCTTTTAATCTAACAGCCTCTGTCCATAATTGTCTTCACTCTGCAGAAAATTACGATGCCAGACTCTCTCGGATCGACATCGCCAACACGTTAAGAGAACAAGTCCAAGACCTGTTTAATAAGAAATACGGTGAGCTACGTGCTGGGGTCAGATGGAGGGTGACTGGGCAGCTTCCTGGTTGTAGCTGAGATCACCTTGGGGGAAACTGGTTGTTCTTTTTATTACATTTATTCTTAGGGGATGGGGGTGTTCATTTTGCAGCATGTGTGCAGAAGTCAAACTTGTGGGCATCAGTTCTCTCTATCATGTGAGTGCCAGGGATTGAACTTGTGTCATCAGGCTTAGTGGCAAGCCTCTTTATCCACTGAGCCATTTCACCAACTCTTATTTGTTTCTTAAGTACCTGCTGTGTCCTAAGCATCAGGGTCACAGTGCCATAGAAATCAGGCACATTGTAGGATGTGGTGCACACCTGTAATCCTATTACTTGAATAGCTGATGCAGGAGGATTGCCCTGAGTTCCAGATCAGCATGTACTATACAGTAAGGCATTGTCTCAAAAAAAAAAAAAAAAAGAGAACTGGCAAGATGGCTTCCTGGGTAAAGGTGCTTGCTGGCAAGCCTGATGACCTGAGTTCAATTCCTGGAACCCGCATGGTAGAAGGAAAGAGCCAGTGTCTACAAGTTGTCCTCTGACCTCGATGTGCACACCAAAACCCCTCCATAAATAAATAAATGTAAATAAATATTTTTAAAAATGAGAGTGTTTAGAGATGTGGCTCAGTTGGTAGGCTAAGTGCTGAGCATGCATGAAGCCCTGAGTTCAGTGCACAGCACCACATAAACCAGGCATGATGGCACATACCTGTCATCAGGAGATAAAGCCAGGAGGCTCACAAGTTCAAAGCCCTCCTCAGCTATAGAAAGTTGGAGGCCAGCCTGTGCTATGTGACTCCCTGTCTCCAAAAATAAATAAAGCCAGGCATGGTGGTGCTTGCCTTTAGTCCCAGCAGTTGGGTGCCAGCCTGGTCTACACAGCAAGTTCCAGGCCAGCCAGGGTTAGCCAGTGAGATTCAGTCTCAAAAAATAAAATAGCCAGGCGTGGTGGCACATGCCTTTAATCCCAGCACTTGGGGGGCAGAAGCAGGCGGATCTCTGTGAGTTCATGGTCAGCCTGGTCTACATAGCGAGTTCCAGGCCAGCTGGGGCTACAGAGTGACCTGTTTCAAAAAAAGACCAAAAATTAAAAAATTAAAAATACATATAATAAAATTTAAGCCGGGCCTGGTGGCGCACATCTTTAATCCCAGCACTCGGGAGGCAGAGGCAGAGGCAGAGGCAGGTAGATATCTGTGAGTTCAAGGCCAGCCTGGTCTACATAGTGAGTTCCAGGACAGCTGGGGCTACAGGGAGACCCTGTCTCAAAAAGAACCCCCTCCACCCCCCCCAAAAAAATATATATAATAAAATTTAAAAAGGAAAGAAGGAAAAGAAAAGAAAGATGCCAGAGCCCAGATGCACAGCAGGCCCTGGTGTCTGGGCAGCACCCTGGCTGACTCAGCCTGGCTTTCTTGGTACCAGGTGTAACCTTTCCATTCACTCCATGTGGGCCATGAATCGGGGAATCTAAGTCCCAGTGCCTGATGGAAGAGTGGCTGTTTCATGGAAGGCTAGCTGTGCCCATAGGCTCCCATCCTGGAGAGGGGCTCCCAGTGCTCAGGCCTGGAGGCTGAAAAACATTAAGTCTTGTTCTTTTCAGAAGCTGGAACCACACATTTGTGCGGTCCGCTCACAACCCACTTAGAGTGGAGTTACCCTAGGATCCCCACTGCACAATACAGCTGCTAGTCTGTAGTCCTGCCCATTGCCGTGCAGTTTTCCACGGGGCCCTGTGCCTAGTGGGAGAGAGCCTCTCTCATGCCTTTTCATGCACCCTGCTCTACTCCTTGCCCTTGATGGACACAACCACCCTTCTCCCACACAGGGGAAGCCTTGGGCATCAAATATCCCGTGCAGGTACCCTACAAGCGAATCAAAAGCAATCCTGGCTCAGTGATCATCGAGGGCCTGCCCCCCGGAATCCCATTCCGCAAGCCCTGCACTTTCGGCTCCCAGAACCTGGAAAGGATCCTTGCTGTAGCTGACAAGATCAAGTTCACGGTCACCAGGTACTCCTGGCTGGGATAGGGAGCTGGCTCTAGCATTTCCTGGGGAAAGGGATTTGGAGAAGGACTGCAGGTCAGACAAGGTATTGGGGGTCCCACACATAAACTGGCTGCCATACCTTCTACCTAGTAGTAACAGCCCTTTATGCAAGCTTAGCCCTCTGAAAGAGCACAAGTCCCAAGGACAAGTGGTCTGGGTATCTTGTTACCATGCAGATCCTGGGCCTGGGGCATGGTTTAATGGGTAAAGTGTTTGCCCTGCAAGCATGCGGAAGAACCTGAGTTTGGGTCCTCAGTACTGATATGAAAAACTGCACGGCAGCACATGCCTATAGTCCTAGCACTGGGGCAGTGGACAGAGACAGGTGGCTCTTGGGCTCACTGGATGGCCAGCCATTCTAGCTGAAATAGCAAGCAAGCTCCATGTTCAGTGACAGACCTTATCACAAAAAATAGAATGGTAGTGGGGGCTGGGGAGATGGCTCAGCGGTTAAGAGCACTGGTTGTTCTTGCAGAAGACCCAGGTTCAAATCCCAGCACCCATAATAGCTAACAACTGTCCATAACTCCAGTTGTGCTGGGGCACTGCACTCACATGCACTTACCCACACATATGCATGATTAAAAATAAAAATGAATTTAAAAAAATATATAATGATGGGAGCTGGAGAGATGGCCCAGCTGTTAAGAACACTGACTGTTCTTACAGAAGACCTGGGTTTGAATCCCAGCACCCACGTGGCAGTTAGCAACTGTCTGTAACTCCAGTTCTATGGTATCCAACGGCCTCTTCTGTCCTCTGTGGGTATTGCACAACATGGGTATACTTACATGCAGGCAATACACACATACACATAAAATAATAATAAATAAAAAATATTTTTAAAAAATAGAGTGGAAGCTGGTGTGGTGGCTCACACCCTTAATCCTAGTACTTGGGAGGCAGAAGCAGCAGAAGAGCTAAGAACACTGGCTACTTTTGCAGAGGATGTGGGTTTGGTTCCCAGCACCCATGTGGTAACTCACAACTGCCTGTATGTGACTGTAGTTCCAAGGGATCCAATACCCTCCTCTGGCCTCTGAGGATTCCTGTATGAGTGTAGTACACATAAATTCACACAGCCATACATATAGATACATCAAAATAATAAATCTCTTTTAAAAAAAATAATAAGATGGACAACAGTTGACACACAGAGGCACAGGTGAGCACACGTGCATATACCCCCCACACACACATATACATACACACATTGCAGATCCCAAAACACGTGTCTCCCCAGTACTCAGGAAATGGAGGCAGGAGGATTGTGAATCAAGACCAGACTGGGTGACATAAGACCCAGTCTCAAAAAAAGAGTGTGGGGCTGGGTATGTGGCTCAGTTGATCGAGTGCTTGCTTTCCTAGCATGCATAAAGCCCTGGGTTTCATCTCAGATCCACATAAACCAGGCATGGCAGTATACTCCTGTAATTCCAGCACTCAGGAGGCAGAGGCAGAGAGAGGCAGAAGGATCAGAAATTCAAGGTCATTGTCTGCTGCATTGGGGTTCAAAGCCAGCCTGGGCTACATGATATCCTGTCCCAAAGAATAAAACCTGAAGTGCTAATACTTCTAGAATTAGGCATTTGTTACCAGCTCCTAGACAAGCCAGTATTGCTGTGTCCCCATGATGGTTGTGTCCCCCAAGTCCTTCTGAACCTTTGCTTCTGTTTCCCTTCTAGGCCATTCCAAGGACTCATTCCAAAGCCTGGTAAGTGGCACTGCTGTGGGGACAAGGGTGACTTTGTGGTACTGGGGTAGGGGGTAAGGGGGTGGGACTGCTGGTAGATTCTGGGAGCTGGAAACCATTGTGGAGCACGAACACACGGCTCAGTGGCTCAGAGCACTGACTGCTCTTGCACAGGACCTAGGTTTGGTTCCCAACACCTACATGACAGCCTACAACTGTCTATAACTCCATTTCCAGGGGATCCACCACCCTCCTTTGGCCTCTCCAGGCATTGCATGACATGGTTGCACTTACATACATGCAGACAATAAACTCACAAAATAAAAATAAATAAATAAATAGAAATTCAAAATAAAATAAAAAGATTTTTTTTTTTTATTTTTTTTTTTTATTTTTTTTTGGTCTTTTTGAGACAGGGTCTCCGAGCTGTGGCCCCAGCTGTCCTGGAACTCACTCTGTAGACCAGGCTGGCCTTGAACTCACAGAGATCTGCCTGCTTCTGCCTCCCAAGTGCTGGATTAAAGGCATGTGCTACCACACCAGGCCTATTTTTATTTTTAAAATTTTATGTGTATGAGTGTATTGCCTGCATGTAGGCAGGTGCACCTGTGCTGTGCAGTGCCCTCGGAGGTCAGAAGAGGGTATCAGATCCCCTGGAACTGGAGTTATGGATGTTTGTTAGCCACCATGTGGGTGCTAGGAATTGAACCCGGGTCCTCTGCAGGAGCAGTCAGTGCTCTTAATTGCTGAGCTATCTCTCCAGCCCCAAAATAAAGAGAATTTTAAAAACAATAATAGCAGACTCTTGGCATGTAGCCCAGGCTGGCCTCAAACTTACAGTTCTCCTTCCTCAGCCTCCCAAGAGCTGAGATGACTGTTGTGTACCACCCACACCAGGGCCCCTTAACCTTTCTCACAGGAGGAAATAGACTCAGACATTAAGGAAATTTCCCCCAAGTAACAGAGCATTCGCCCAGCCTCCCTGAGATCTGAAAGGATGTCTTTCCCATTTTACCTCACTAGCCTCGACCTTGGCATGTGCCAGGCTGTGCTTTATGACCATGCCCTTTTCCCTTCACGCACCAGCCATAATCTCATTGTCTCTCCCTTCTGACCACTAGGTGCAGTGCCATGGGTCCTGTGTACAATCTAATTCCCAGTTAATTCTTCTGGTTCATTTACTTGGTTTTTGCCTTTCAGTTTTATTTTAGTGTTTAGGATTTACTTGTTTGTTTTTAATGTGTATGACCCATTTTGCCTGCATGTAAGTGCACCTGTGTCATGCAGTGCCCACAGAGGCCAGAAGAGAGCGTTGGAGCCCCTAGAACTAGAGTTACAGATGGTTGTTAACCACCATGTGGGTGCTGGGAACCAAATCCAGGTCCTCTGCCAGAGTAGCCAGTGCTCTTTACCACTGAGCTATCTCTCCATTTCAAAAAGGCTGAGGACCAAGGGTAGGCCTCAGACTCATGATTGTCCTGGTTCTTGCCTCTTCACCATATCCCACTGTTGTGTGCCACCACAACAGGCTTTAGGTGTTCTTGTTTGTTTGTTTTTGGAGATGGTCTCACTGTGTAGCCCAGGCTGGATTGAATTTGCAATCCCCGTTTCTATCGCCTAGGTAGCTGGGGTGACAGGCCTGAGCCACCAAGTCTGGTGAGATTTGGGCTTTATTTTCTGGCATCAGAGTTTTGCTTTAATTTTCAAATGATAGCAGATTTGCATTTTCTGGGGGTTGCTATGGAGACCAGCTTTCACTCTGGACAGGTGGACTGCACAACGTGAAGCTGAACTAGAGAGGTCTATAGAGACCAGTCCCCAGTTATGTTCTAGGCTACCCTCAAACTCGCTCTATACCTGAAGATGACCTTGAATTTCTGATCTTCCTGCTTCTACCTTCGAATCCATAGGATTACAGGTGTGCACCACCACACCTGGTTTATGCAGTGCTGGGCATAGACCCAGGGCTTTGTGCAGGCTAGACAAGCAGTCTACAGGCCACAACCCCAGCACCACTCAAATTATGGTAGTGGTTTCAATGAAAAGAAAAAAGGCTTTGGATATAGTGAACTCCCTAGTCACTGGAGGTATTTAAACTGAGGTTAGGCTAGTCAGTTACTTACCAGAGAGACTATTCCCACAGAGTGGGCTGCAGGGGAGGATGGGAAAGGTTTCTCTCACATCATGTTACCTAAGTGTAAGAAGAATGGTTCTGCCATGAGAAGTTACTGTCCCTGAAGAAGGGACCTTGGAACTGCACTGCCACCTGCTGGACCCACTTCCCTTGGTGGCCAAGCTGGGAGCTTCCCCAGTCACTTCCTCTGTAGAATGTGGTGGTGCAAGCCTGGGAAGATCAGGAGTTCAAGGCTAGCCTCAGCTATATAGGAAGTTTAAGACTAGCCTGGGCTAAATGAGACATTATCTCGAAATCAGATAATAGGGGGCTGAAGAGATGGGTCAGTGGTTAAGAGCACAGGCTGCTCTTCCACAGAACCTGAGTTCAGTTCCCAGCCTGTAACTCCAGTACCATGGGATTTGATGTGCTATTTTGGCCTCTGTAGGCACTGCACTCATGTGCACATACCTGCCCCTGCCATACACATAAACAAAAAAATAAAAATAAATCTTTCTAGGGGCTTGGAGAGATGACTGAGCATTTAAGAACACTGGATGCTCCTGCAGAGGACCAGGGTTCAGTTCCCAGCACCCACAAGGCAGCTAACAACTATCTGGAACTCCAGTTCCAAGAGATCCAATGCCCTCTTCTGGCCCCCTTGGACATTGCAGGATACAGGTGCACTTACACGGCAAGACACTCACACATAAAATAAAAGTAAATCTAAAATTTTTAACTAAAAAGCAAATAATTATTATAATCATCATCATTTCCTCTGACCCCAGGTACAGCTTTAATGCACTGTCAGGAAGAACTGGGATACATTGGGGTCCCCAGAGGCAGAGTAGCACTGTGCCTTCCTCTATGACTCCAGCAAGCCAGTTTGCCTCTCTGGGCCTCAGTGACCCTATCTGTAAAAGAGGAAGAGTTGCCCAGGCCCTCTCTGCCTCCCCTCAACTCCTAGAACCCATGGCAAGGCCAGGCAGGTTGCAGAGGCTTGGAGGTCCTGACTCTGCAACCTGGATTGACCATGCAAAAGCAGGCTCAGCAAGTACTTGTCCTCATGTCCCCTTGGCCCAGAAGCCTCGAGCATCTCTGAGGCTAGGTGCAAATTCTCAGCGGTTCCAGCTTAATCTAGGACGTCCCCACAGTCTGTACTAAGCATACTTCCCTGTTCAGGTTTTATATCAGGAAATAGGTCAAGTGACATATGGCTGAGGAAGACTGATAACCCCATTTCCCTAGTGGTGCCTGAGGCCTAGTTAGAGCTCAGCTGAGGGGAAGGACCTGTAAACACAGGCAAGGAAAGGCCCACCGGTGCTGCAAAGCCTTTCAGTGGGGTCTGCTCGATGTAAGGTGGGTTTCATGGAAAAGGGAACCTCAGTTAGGCCTGGGTACCAGTCTGGGGTTGATGTTGACAGACAGGGATCAAGGAGGGGGCTATGCAGGAGAAGGAACAATTCCTTTGTGCCCTTTTGGAACTAATTTTGCCATTTTTGTTTTGGTGGGTTTTGTTTGCTTGGTTTTGGGAGGTTTTCTGTTTGTCTGTTTGTTTGTTTTGAGATAGGGTCTCCATATAGCCCCACCTGGCCTGGAACTCACTATGTAAACCAGGCTGGCCTCAATCTCACAGAGACCCACCCTCCTCTGCCTCCTGAGTGCTGAGATTAAAGGTGTGCACCACCATGCCCAGCGTAATTCTGTTTTTTTAACTATGATATTAGATAGATTAACTATGATTTGATATTTTAGATAAATTAACTTATTGTCTGTGATCTTGGATAAGTTAACTTGCTGTGTATGACCATAGATAATTCAACTTACTATATGTGATCTTGGCTAAATTAACATACTGTCTTTGATCTTGGAAAAGAAGTTAACTGTCTGTGATCTTGGATTAGTTAGCTCATGATCTGCAGTGTTAGAGAGGTTTACTTACTACCTCTAGTTCTCTATTTCTTCAGTCCTCTCTGCCTTTCTGTGACCTGCTCCCCAAGACCTGAGAGACATTTTCCTGTCCGCAGTCCCCTAGCCCGTGCCTTTCCCCCTCCCCACCCTTCCAGCTCTGTCATGTTTTGAGAACTCAAAATAAAACTGCCTTTTCTCAGTTTCTAAAGATACCACAATTCTAGCGTCAGCCACCTTTCCCCTGTGTCATTATCTAAGCCTCTTGTTGATAATTAGGCTCCAGTAATGACCACCTTTCTGTCTCTGGGGTGGGACAGCTCAGGGTGAGGCCCCCCTCTGAGAGGTGCCCTCCTGTTGGACCCAGAACTGACCGAAAGCCCCCTTTCTTCTGAAAGGAGCCATTGGGACTCCCCGTCTCCTAGCCTGTGGGAGCTCAGCCAGGACCACTGTTTCCTGTCCTGACCCTGGATCCATTGAGGATCCCAAACCCTGAACCCCACATGTAGTTGGAAGGGAACCTCAAGTGCTTGCTATGCAGATATAAGGACCTGAGTTCAACCCCTAGAACCCATAGAAAAATGCTGGGTATGGTGGTGTGCGCTTATACTCTGGGGAGGCTGAGACAGGAGGACCCCTGAGCCAGCCTGGCCTCTTTGGTGAGCTCCAGGCGAGTGAGAGACCCTGCTTCAAAATATAAAGTGGACAAAGAGCTGAGGAACAACATCTGAGGCTGCACTCCGGCCTACATACTCATACATGCAAACAAACACCGAGGTTAACTTCCAGTGGCTGGAGAAATGGCTCAGCAGTTAAGAGCTCTGGCTGCTCATGTTGAGGACCTGGGTTTGGTTCCCAGGGCCCACATGGCAGCTCACAGTCATGTAAGTCCCGTTCCAGGGGATCTGATGTGTCTTCTGACCTCTGAAGTCATTACATGCACATGGTACAGTTACATGCATACAGGCAAATGTGCATACATGTAAAATAAAAATAAGCATTAAAAAAGGAACTTTGGAAACTGAGACCACCCAAGTTGACAGAAACGACTGCCACCTTTATTTGAGCTTGTGTGACATCAGTACAGAGGTCACCAGGCAGAACACAGGCTCTCAAGGGATGATCAATGAATCAATCCTCTGAGCCACAAAATCAGAAAAAAATGGGTGGGGTCCAGGCAGGGCTCAGCCCCTGTGCCTACCCAGAAGCCTGTATCTTTGCAACCTACTGAGGATGGGTCAGGTGACCAGATAGTTGGGAGATAGAGATGGGGACATGCCAGAAGAGCTACAGACCGTAGAGATGGGGGACAGGACAGTTGGCACCTGGGTTACAAGGGCCCACAGGTGCACATGCAGTCACTCCCTGTGATCCCTATTGATTTGATGAATTACAAAGTAAGCATGGTGCACACCTGCAGTCCCAGCACTGGGGAGATAGAAGCAAGATTCAAGGTCATCTTTAACTACATAGGACTTTGAGGCGAACCTGAGCTAAATGAGACCCTGGCTTAAAAAAAAAAAAAATTATGCTTGCTGGGCGTGGTGTGCACGCCTGTAGTCCCAGCACTTGGGAGGCAGAGGCAGGCAGATCTCTGTGAGTTCACGGCCAGCCTGGTCTACACAATGAGTTCCAGGCCAGCTGGGGCTACAGGGAGACCCTGTCTCAAAAAGACAAAAAAAAAAAAAAAAAATCATGCCAACCCTCGGGAGGCAAAGGCAGATGGATCTCTATGAGATCAAGGCCACCCTGGTCCACATTGTGACTTCTAGGTGGGCTGGTGTTAGGAAAATCCTGTCAAAAAACAGTTAACAAAACAACAAAAAAAATCCTCGGGCTAGCACAATGGTTCAGCTGGTAAAGGCACTAAAGTCGCTTGCTGCCAAGCCTAATGGCCTGAATTTGATCCCCAGGACCACATGGTGGAAGGAAACAACCCCTGCAAGTTGTCCTCTGACTTGCACACACATGTAGTGGTGCACTTGTATACTCATAAACAAATAAATGTAATTTGAAAAATAAAACATTGAGCCAGGCGTGGTAGTGCACGCCTTTAATCCCAGCATTTGGGAGGCAGAGGCAGGTGGATCTCTGTGAGTTCCAGGCCAGCCGGGTCTACATAATGAGTTCCAGGCCAGCTGGGGCTACAGGGAGACTCTGTCTCAAAAAGACCAAAAAAATAAATAATAACTAAAACCTTGCAGGCCAGCATTCAGGAAGCTAAGGCAGGAGGATCATGAGATTGGGTCCCACCTGGGTTACATAGAGAGATGCTGTCTGAAGAAAAGCAAAAGAAAACAGCAAACTTGAATTTAACTTGTTACCTAAATAGAGAGGTGGTGTGTAGGGCATAGGCAGGATGGAGGGTGTGGCCTGTGTCCCTCTGACTTGCTGTTCCTCCCCACCACATGCCCCTGAGAGTGACCACTGCTTCCTCCATGAGGCAGCGTGTTCTGTTTGGGTGGGAGAAGACCAAGGCCATTCAAGACCCTTGAGTTTCACCCTGAGATTGGCCTGGTATAGCAACCAGGTTTGGCCCCCAGGTCAGGGGTGTTAATACCGTATAGACAACTGGCTGATTTCACAAGCCTGGGGAGTGGGGTCGTGGTGTGTGTGTGTGTGTGTGTGTGTGTGATATGTGTGTGTACATAGTGTGTGATGTGTATGCTTGGTGTTGGTGTGTAGTGTGTATGTGGTATGTATGTGTAGTATGATGAGTGTATATGTGTGTGATAAAGGGCTTGGGCGTGTATGTGATATGTGTATATGGTATGTAGTATGATATATGTGGTGTGTGATGTGTGTATATGTGAGATGTGTGTGGTATGTAGTATGTGAATGTGTGTGACATGTGAACGTGTGTGGCATGTATGTGTATGTGTATTCTGTAGGGCAAGTAGAGCTGACACTCAGGCTAACCTAACCAAGACAGATGACTATATTAGAGAGGAGACCAAAAACCAGGATGAGTCAGACAGGCTGTCTGTAATCTCAGGAAACTGCGGCAGGAGGATTGCCATGAGTTCAAAGCCAGCCTGGGCTATAGTATAAGACTGTGTCTCAAAAGGACCAACACACAGGGCCAGGGCTGTGGCTGTTAATAGAGTGCTGGCAGAAGGCCTTGGTTGTACTCCACAGAAACCTGGCCTGGAGGTACATAACTGTGATCCCAGCACTCGAAGGCAGGGGCAGGTAGATCTCTGTATGTGAAGGCCTAATCTACATAGCAAGTTCCATGCCAGACAGAGCCACATAGTGAGACCCTGTCTCTCTATCTCTCTCTCTCTCTCTCTCTCCACACACACACACACACACACACAAGCTCGAAGTCATCATTGGCTGCATTGTAAGTTCAGGCCAGACTCTGTCTCAAAATAAAAGAAACAAATCAGGGCGTGGTAGAACATTTCTCTAATCCCAGCACTTGGAGGGTGATTGTGACTTCAAAACCAGTCTGAGCTAAATAGCAAGATCATGTCAAAAAGATGAAAATGAAAAGGTAGCTGGGCACAGTATCTGGTGCCTGTAATCCCAGGAGGCTGAGGCAGGAAGAGTACTATGAATTTCAGGCAGCCTGAGCTACATAGTGAGTTCCAGGCCAGCCTGGGCTACAGTAAGACCTTGTCTTAAGAGAAACAAAAACAAAATGAAAAGTAAACATCCTGATCTCCTGGATGATGACCCAGGGCATCCTAAGGGTTCCCTGTCACACTTTGTGGGGTCCTATGACTGACATTCCTTAAGCTACAAGCTCCTTTTGTGGTAGAACACCTGTGGTGGGTGGGCTGTTCAGGAAATATGGATGGATAGATGGTTAGATAGATGGTTGGATAGAGGGGACATTGAGAAGGTGGGTGTGTGGAAGGATGAATTAAAGGGGAAGTATTGAGTAAGTGGGTAGATACAGAGATGACTGTGCTGCTGAGGCCAGAGCAGCTGCAGATGAGAAGGTGCCATTTGGAGAGGCTGCCAGCAGGCCAGGGGCCACATGGAAAACACACGTGCCAGCTTTACAGCTCCCTTGTCTCCCCTCCCCTGTCACTTTGCAGATGAGGATGATGCCAACAGGCTCGGGGAGAAGGTGATCCTCCGAGAGCAGGTGAAGGAGCTCTTCAATGAGAAATACGGTCAGTGCTCCAAGCAGCTGGGGTGGGTCTGTGGGGCAGCTGACCTGACCACACCCTGGGGACCTGCCCACCCTACCAGTGACTGAAGACATGTTAGTTACTTTTCCGTTTGCTGTGACAAAATACCTGCTTTTGCAGTTTAGGAGTGGAAGGATTTATTGTGGCTCACAGTTAGAGGGCAAAGTCCATCATGGTAGAGAAGGCATGGCAGCAGGAGTGTGAAGGCAGCTGGTCACATGGCATCCACAGTCAGGAAGCAGAGAGAGGAATGCTGGTGCTCAGATCACTTTCTCCTTTGGATTCAGTCCAGGACCCCAGCACATGGGATGGTGCTGCTCACATTCAGGGTGGGGCTTCCCCACTTAGCCCAACCTAGAAACTCACACACATGCCCAGAGGTATGTCTCTGAGATAATTCTAGGTCCTATCAAGTTGACAGTCAATGTTAATTACCACAGTATGTGTGGGGATGATGATGCACTCCATGGGATGGGGTGACTACCAGAGTCACATGCTGTTCCTCAATGTTTCACATTGACTCAGGGGATCTCTTTCTGGCTCTGACCCCCTTCAGGTGAGGCCCTGGGACTGAACCGGCCTGTGCTGGTCCCTTACAAACTGATCCGAGACAGCCCGGATGCTGTTGAGGTGACAGGCCTGCCCGATGACATTCCCTTTCGGAACCCCAACACCTACGACATTCACCGGCTGGAGAAGATACTGAAGGCCCGTGAGAATGTGCGGATGGTTATCATCAACCAACTCCAGTGAGTGCCACAGCGGAAAGGCATTGTGCTAGCCTGGGAGAGGAATCCAAAAAATCAACCCCAATTTTGTTGTTTTTGGGGGGTTTGCGGTTTTTTTTAAATATTTTATTTATTAGTTTTATTTTATGTGTTTGAGTGTATTGCCTACATGTATGTGAGTGCACCTGTGTCATGCAGTGCCATGGAGGTCAGAAGAGGGCTTTGGATACCCCTGGAACTGAAGTTAAGGATGGTTCGTAGCCGCCATATGGGTGCTGGGAATAGAACCCGGGTTCTCTGCAAGAGCAGTCAGTGCTCGTAACCACTGAGCCATCTCTCCAGCCCCTGTTGTTGTTTTGAGACAGGGTCTCACTATGTATCCCTGGCTGGCCTGGAACCCACAGAGATCCACCTGCCTCTGCCTCTCAAGTACTGGGATTAAGGTGTGCACCACCACTCCTGGCATATTTTTTTAATTAATTTATTTATTTGTGTATGAGTGTTCCTACATGTAAGTGCACCTATATGCATACAGTGCCAAGAAGAGATCAGAAGAGGGTGTTGGATCCCCTGGAACTACAGTTATGAATAGTTGTTAACCTCCATATAGGTGCTAGAAACCAGACTTGCATCCTCTGAAAGAGCAGCCAGTGCTCTTAACCACTGAGCCATCTCTCCATCTCCTTTTTCTTTTAAAGAATTATTTATCTGGGGGGGTCTGGAGAGATGGCTCAGCAGTTAAGAACACTGGCTGTTCTTGCAGAAGACCCGGATTCAAATCCCAGGACCCACATGGCAGCTAACAACTGTCTGTAACTCCAGTTCCAGGGGATCTGACAGCTTCTTCTGTCCTCCGCGGGCATTTCACAACACATGTGCACTTACCTACATGCAGCAATACACATGTACACATAAAATAAAAATAAATAAAACATTTTTTAAAAAGAATTATTTTTATTATTGTTGTGTGTGGGTGCCTGCAGAGGCTAGAAGAGGAGCTGGAGTTACAGGCAGTTGTGAGCTGCCAGGTGAGGGTGCTGGGAACTGAACCCAGGTCCTGTGCAAGAACAGCCAGTGCTCTTAGCTGCTGAGTCATCTCTCCAGCCCTTTATTTTATTATTTTTACATTTCGTGTGTATGCGTGTTTTGCCTGTATGTATGTAAGTGCACCCATGCATGCAGTGCCCATGGAGGCCAGAAGAGGGCATTGGATCCACTGAAACTGGAGTTACAGATAGCTGTTAACTGCCATGTGAGTGCTGGTAACTGAACCTGGGTCCTCTATAAGAGTAGCCAGTGCTCTTGACTGCTGATCCATCTCTCCAGCCCATAAATGATTCTTTAAAATAAAAATAACATGGAGAGTGACTGAAGAAGGTAGCAGACATCAACCTGTGGCCTACACACAAACACACACACACACACACACGGGCACATGGACACACGAAGGGGCAAGTGAGGTGGCTTAGTCAGTAAAGGCACTTTCCAGTAAGCCTGACAATCAGTCTGAGTTCAATCCCTGGGACCCACATAGTGGAAGAAGAGAAACAACTGACTCTCAAACTGTCCTCTGACTTCTACATGTACACCATGGCACATATGTGTCCCCACACATATACACACAAACACATACATACTTGTAATTAAAATATTTTTTAAATAAAAGAAGGAACTGGAGAGACAGCAGCACTGGCTGCTCTTGCAGAGGACCTGGGTTTGATCCAGCACTCACGTGGTGGCGTACAACTGTCCATAACTCCAGTTCCAGGAGATGCAACACCTTCTTCTCACCTCCAAGGATACCAGGGATGCATATGGCACGTATGCACACAGTCAAAAGACACATACACATAAAATAAAAATCAAAATAAAACTTTAAAAACAAAAAAGGAAGCAAGGAAGAAAGAAAAAAAGGAAAGAGGAATGAAGGAGGGAGGGAGGGAGGGAAGGAGGGAGGGAAGGAGAGGCCAGCTATGGAGGCACATACCTTTAATCCCAGCACTTGGGAGGCAGAAGCAGACCAATCTCTAAGTTCCAGGCCAGCCAGGGATACACAGTGAGATTCTATCTGAGGATGGAGGGAAGAAGGAAAGAGAAAGAGTGGGGGAGGGGGTAAGAGGGAGTGAGAGAGGAAAGAAAATATTTGATTTGATAATACATTCTTTAATCCCAGCACTGGAGAGGCAGAGGTAGGAGGATGGACCAGCCTGGGCTACATAGCAAGACCCTATCTCATAAAAGTGCAAATTAATTTTGGCCAAAGATATATATATATATAATCATTTGACTCACCGTTTTATAGGTTCCATACCCTAGTCACTTGGGGATATGGCTTTGGGCCTGTGGCAGCTTAGGTCTTCATGGTGGGAGCACTATGCATGGTGGATCAAGATACTCACCTCATGTGAGATGGGTGGTGGGAGCGGGGAGAGAAAGCCGTGATGGCCGGAATGGCTTAACTTCCTCCCCCTACACCTCACCTCCTGAAAGTTCCACCACCTCCCAATAGTGTGACAGGCTGGGGATCCTGTGTTTGTTACATGGACCATTGGGGTGACATTTAAGATGCAGACCTATATAGAACTATATTGTGCACAGCCCTGGCTTTAAGCACAGCAGCCATTTCTGAGCTGTGGACATGGTGCCCCTATTCCAAGGAGCAGGTGAAGAGGAGAAACCTTCTAACTGCTGCCTTGCTTTTGTCTTTTCCAGACCTTTTGCAGAAGTCTGCAATGATTCCAAGATGCCAGGTGAGTCGGAGGTGGAAGAGGCCAGCCTCCTGCCTCATGGGGACTTTTGCCTTCCAAAAAGCATAGAATGGGGATAGGTGGTAGCTCCTTTGATAGAGTGCTTGCCTAGCATGCACAAAGCCCTGGATTTGATCTCCGGCCCTTCATAAACTCACTGTGGTGGTACATCCCTATCATCTCAGCACTCAGGAGGTAGAGGCAGGTAGATCAAGAGTCAAAGCCAACCTCAGCTACATAGTGACTTGGAGGCAGCCTAGGCTACGGGAGAAAAAACAGAATAAAATAAAACACTGGTAGGAAGCAGGTAGAGGGTAGAATGATGCTCCCCACAAAGTTTTTGGGGATTTGGGGAAGACGGCTGTGCTGAAGACTGAATAATCTGGGTATAGTTTTAAGGACATCTAGGCTGCACTGAGCCAGTTGAGGACAGAGAGGGGACATGGTATCATCAAAGAGAGGCAGCAGGTAGGATCCAGAAGTAGAACTCCTTGGACCTGCCTATGGAGGAAGGCCAAACAAGTAAGCCTCAGCTGCTGGAGGGTCATGGAGCCTGGAATGCCAAGCAAGGGAATTGAGATGGCTGTAGCTCACCTACAGAGCATCTGCTTAGAATCCCCAGGGAGGGGCTGGGGTGTGACTCAGTGGTAGAGCACCTGCCTAGAATCCCCTAGTGAGGGGCTGGGGGCGCAGCTCAGCATATTCAGAGCCCTGGCTTCCATTCCCAGAACAGCAAACAAACAAACAAAATATTAAAAACCTAAAAGCAAGAGCCTTCGCCTGGGAGCTTAGGAGGCTGACACACAATGGCCTCCAGCAACTGACCTCAGCAACCCTTTCTTCCACCAGCCAAAGACAATGTTCCCAAGCGCAAGAGAAAGCGGGTTTCTGAAGGCAACTCGGTCTCCTCCTCTTCATCCTCCTCTTCATCCTCATCCTCTAACCCGGAGTCTGTAGCATCTACCAACCAGATCTCCCTTGTGGTAAAGACTCAAAAATGCACCCCACTCCAATTCATTGTGGCCTTTGCTTCTCCCTCACTTAGGACCACACACTCAGGGATGTGGGAATCAGGAGGCCCCAGGGTCTTAGAGGGACTCAGCTAGCCTCAGGGGTACTGACCCATCTACTTGTTCTGCCTGTGAGATAGATTGAGTGTCTGCACCCTGAGTGTCAGCATGACATTTGGAGTGTGGGTCTCACCATCAGTATGTGTAGATGAGGCTAGCAGAAGTTAGATGGTTGCATGGGGGATGGAGAACTCACCTCCAGACCTCCATCATCTGTTGGCCACATTGCTACATTTGGATCTTTCCTGTCCCAGAGGAAAACTTTTTCTAAAGAGCTGAATATAGTGGCACTAGCCTGTAGTTCCAGCACTCTAGAGGTGGAGGCAGGAGGATCAGAAGTTCAAGGCCAGCCTGGGCTACATGAGATCCTCAAAGAAAACAAATGGGGCTAGGAATGTGGCTTCATAGACTGCTTGCCTCCCATGTAGGGAGCCCTGAGTTCCATCCACAGCACATGCCTATCATCCCAGCACTGATGGGGTGGAGGCAGGAGCATCAAGAGTTCAATGTCACCATGAATGCTGGCACACACCTTTAATACCAGCACTCGGGAGGCAGAGGCAGGCATATCTCTGTGAGATCAAGGCCAGCCTAGTCTACATAGCAAGTTCTAGACCCGCTGGGGCTATGGGAAGACCCTGTTTCAAAAAACAACAACAAAAAAAATTCAATGTCATAGAACCTACGTAGAAAATTTGAGGCTAGCTTGAGTTACATGAGACCGTCTCAACAAAAAAAAGGGAAGAGGGGCTGGAGAGATGGCTCAGTGGTTAAGTGCACTGGCTGTTTTTGCAGAGGACCTGGGTTCTGTTACCAACATCCACATGATGGCTCACAACCATTTTTACTTAGCTCCAGTTCCATGGGATCTGAGCCCCCTCTTCTGGCCTCTGTGGGCATTGCACATATGTGGTGCACATACATATATGCAGGCAAACACTCATAAAATAAAAATAAATTTTCCAGGTGTGGTGGCCCACTCCTTTAATCCCAGCATTCAGGAGACAGAGACAGGTGGATCTCTGTGAGATCAAGGCCAGCCTGGTCTACTTAGTGAGTTCCGGGACAGCTGGACCTTATCTCAAAAAAAAAAAAAAAAGAGGGGCTCAAAAGATGGCTTAGCAGTTAAGAGCACTGGCTGCTTTTGGAGGGGACCTGGATTCGGCTCCCAGCACCCACATGGTGGCTAACAACCATTCATAACTCCAGTTTTAGAAGATCCTATGCCCTCTTCTGGCCCCGAGGGCACTGCATGACACTTACATACATGCAGGCACTGCATCATACACATAAAATAAAAATAAATAAATCGCCAGGCGTGGTGGCGCACGCCTGTAGTCCCAGCACTTGGGAGGCAGAGGCAGGCGGATCTCTGTGAGTTCAAGGCCAGCCTGGTCTACATAGTGAGTTCCAGGACAGCTGGGGCTACAGGGAGACCCTGTCTCAAAAAGACCAAAAAATAAATCAATAAATCAAGCTGTGTGTGGTGGCACATGCCTTTAGTCCCAGTACTCGGGAGGCAGAGGCAGGCTGATTTCTGTGAGTTCAAAACCAGCCTGGTCTACATAGAGAGTTCCAGGCCAGGAGGGACTACAAGGAGAGGAAAAAAGGGAGGGAAGGAAGGAGAAAAATTTTATAGTTTCTTGACTTTTCAATTTTGTGCCCCTTCTAACTTTCCTCGGACACATCGAAAGCCCAGAATTTTACTTTTTCCCAGCCTTCATCTGTGTATGTGTAGAGGGCTCCACAAGGTGGAGCACCCCCTGAGAAGCAGGACATGATCTGTGAGGGGAGGCTGGGTGTATGGGCGTCACTGCTCTGCTGAACTAGTCCTCATTCATGACTCTGGGACCCAGGTGGGGACAGTCACCAGGCTCCACAGCCACTTCTGAGCTGTGTCATCTTGAAGAGGTTTCATGCCCTCTCTGGGCCTTGGTGCCTGCATAATAAATAGCTTTCCGGATCCTCTCAATGAAGCAGAGCTAAGTGTTGGGGGGGGGGTTCCTGTGCTACCTAGAGTCCTAATGCTGTCCCTCTGTCCCCCCTCTTTTTTAGCAGTGGCCAATGTACATGGTGGACTATTCCGGACTGAACGTGCAGCTTCCGGGCCCCCTTGATTATTAGACCTCAAAGCCGAATCAGGACCTCAACTCAGAAAGATTAAAGGAAATGTAATTTATGTACAAAGTGTATATTCGGATATGTATCGATGCCTTTTAGTTTTTCCAATGATTTTTACACTATATTCCTGCCGCCAAGGCCTTTTTAAATAAGTAAAAAAAAAAAAAAGGAAAAGAAAAATAGTGTCATTTTTATTCTTTCTAGTTGTGTGCACTTTTTAATTATTTTTAAAATTTGTGTGTGTGTGTGTGTGTGTGTGTGTGTGTGTGTTCATGTGAGTGCAGTGCACGCAGAGCCCAGAAGAGAGTGTTGGATCCCCTGAAGATGGAGCAATCGGTGGTTATGACCCAACCAGTGTAGTTGCTGGGAGCTGAATTAGGTCCTCTGTAATAGCAAAAACAAACAAAAGCTAGTAAGGTGAGAAAGGCCAACAAAATGACTCAGCTGGTAAAGGTGCTTGCTGCCAAGGATGATAGCCTGAGTTCTATCCCCAGGACCTACATGGTGGGAGGAGAGAACAGACTTCTATAAGTTGTCCTCTGACCTCCACTTGGGTGCTGTATCACACACAATAAATTGAAGGTACTTTAAATATATATATATATATTTATATATATGGTGAAGAATGATATACAAGTGTATGTATGCACATAAACACAACATGCCACACACTCAAATTTGGACTTACACTACACATTACATACACACAGAAGCTCAAGGTTATCCTCAGCTATATAGTGAGTTAAAAGCCAGCCAGCCTGTGCTACATGAAGCCCTTTCTCAAAACAAAATGGGGCTGCAGAGATAGCTCAGCAATAGGGTTTTAAGAGCACTGGCTGCTCTTGTAGAGGATCCAGGTTCAGTTCCAGCACCCACATGGTAGCTAACAACTGTCCTTAACTCCACCTCCAAGGGCTCTGACACCCTCTTCTGGCCTCCACAGGCATTGCATGTACAGTGCACTTACATGCCGGGAAAACGCTCATACACATAAAATAAAAGCAAATATAAATCAAAAACTCTAAGCAGAAAGTGGTTCTTAATAAAAGGAATTTTGTCCGTTAGTAACGATCACAGCAAATGTTTATTATGCTGGAATTCTTGACTTTAAGCTAAGAGGCTGCTTTTGTTCTTTTCTCATCCTATGTCCTTTTAGTTTTCCTTGTCTTTCTGTCCTGTCTGAACATTACGTGAGGGTTGCTGGAAAGGAGAGGGACCAGGGTGACCCCAGGACCCGGCTCTAAATGCTCCAGTCAGAACAAGGCATCTGGCTTAGAGGAACGAGGTTCAGAGTGAGCTGAGTCCATAATAGAACCACCCGGAAGCTTTGGCCATCCCTACGGGGTTTTGGCTGTGCCACAGTTGGGGGAAAGGTCCTGACCCAGACTTCTAGACCAGCTTCCTCCTGGAAAGATGTTAAAAACTGCAAAGTTGGCACACTCCTGCCAAACTGTTCCCTCTCTCTGCTGGCTCCCCTCCCCTATCAGCTGGTAGCTGGCCTTCCTTTCCACACCCCAAAAGCTGGGTGGGGAGAGCACTCTTTTCTCTCTGTCTCTTCTACTTTTTGTTCATCAACTGATTTTTATTTATTTTTATTTTATGTATATGAATGTTTTGCTTGCATGTATATTAGTGTACCCATGCGTGCAATGCCTGCAGAGGCCGGAGGAGGACATCTGATCCTTTGGAACTGGAGTTATGAATGGTTGTTAGCTGCCATGTGGGTGTTGGGAACAGAACCCAAGTCCTCTGCAAGAGCAGTCAGTACTCTTAACCACTGAGCCATCTCTCCAGCCCTGGTTGGCTGATTTGGAGACAGAGTCTCAAGTAGCACAGAATGGCCTTGAATGCCTTATGTAATTGAGGATGACCTTCAACTTGTGATCCTTCTGTCTTCACCTCCCAAGTGCTGAGATCATAAGCAAGCCCACCACACCCAACTTAGCCCTTTTTCTCAAGATCCAGCACTCCATGCATAGACCTCATTGTTTCTACAGAAACCACCTGTGAAACTTCAGTGGTAGGGCACCTGCCTAGAACCCCCCAGTGAGGGGCTGGGGTGTGGCTCAGTGGTAGAGCACCTGCCTAGAATCCCCCAGTGAGGGGCTCAGTGGTAGAGCACCTACCTAACTGCCATTAAGCCTGGGTTCCATAACCAACATTGCAAAATAGATAAAAAGCCAAACAGCTCCTAGGTTTTTTTCTGCCTATTTCCCTGAAAGCTAACTTCTTGGCACAGCATTCCAGGCCCCTCCCAGTCTGTCTTCTATCCCAGCTTCACAAAACACCCTTTATCTACAGCAGGAACCATGGTGTATTCTGGGGCCTTGAGTACCTGACACCCTTATAATGGTTGCAGACACGGTGCCTGTCTGTGGTCTAGAGGAGCCCCCATCAAGGTCCAGGGTGACCAGATCAGACGTGCTGGGAGCTGCTGGGAAGGGCTAGCCCTGGGGAACTGGAGCCACAGACTGAGCAGTATAAAGTCTCATTCTCTCTGTGCAGATGTGTGCAGTTCAGTGGGTCTTCACAGTGACCCTTTGCATACTTGGTGTGATGTCATTCCTTAACAACAGAGGAAAAAGCCAGGTATGGTGGCTCATGCTTGCCATCTTAGCACTGGAATGCTTGAACAGAATTGTTGAGTTCAAGGCTACTGAGCTACACAGTGAATTCAGGCCAACCTGGGCTAGAGTGAAAACCTGTCTGGAAAAGAAACAGGAGCTGGAGGGAATGTAGTGCAGTTAGTAGAGCACTTGACTAGAATGTGGTCCATCCCCAGCACTGCATAAAACTGGACACTGTGGTGCACGCCTGTAATCTCAGTACTGGTAGATGCAAGAGGACTAGGATCAGGAAACAGGAGTTTCAGGAATTGCAAACCAGCCTGCGCTATATGAGACCCTGTCTTAAAAACAAAACACCATAATTCTAAAAAGAGAACACAGCTGGGCATGGTGGCACATGCCTTTGATCCTGGCATTTGGGAGGCAGAGGGAGGCAGCTCTCTGAAATCGAGGCCAGCCTCCACTCCATAGCGAGTTCCAGGCCAGCTGTGGCTACAGGAAGACCCTGCTTCAAAAAGAACAAAAAGATAATCAATTAATTAATTAATTAAAAGGAAACACACATAGGAATGACTTTTAATATGGGCATAATCTGGACTAAAGACTTTTACCTCACCTCGCAACCAAAAAGCTACTGTTTATAATGTAAACCAGGTCACTGACCCGTGGGTTCCTCTTGTGACCTGGGTACCTGACCTTAATCCCTCAGAACCCCACTTTGCCCTCCACCCAAGATAGTGAATGAATGTGAATGTGCTTGACTAACATATCAAAGTGCTGGAAGCAGTGTATTTTTCTCATTGAAAACAGTGAGAAAATTTGAGAAGACTGTTTGAATTGTATGTGTGATATTCTAGGCCTAGGAATCAAAGGGCAAGATTCTCTGATAAGATAAGGGTGGATCCCAACTTCTATTTCCCCAATTCACGATGGAGATGCTGTTTCAATAAAATAATGCATGAAGCCTGGCAGTTCTGTGAGACATCTGAAGGAACTCAGAGACATCTGGAGGTGCTCAGAGTCCAGGTCCTTAAGTCTTGGCTTTATGAATGCTAAGATGCTGTGGTACACACTTTTTTTTTTTTGGTCTTTTTGAGACAAGGTCTCCCTGTAGCAGCAGCTGGCCTGGATTTTCTAATGGAGACCAGGCTGGCCTTGAACTCACAGAGATCTGCCTGCCTCCCAAGTGCTGGGATTAAAGGCGTGTGTGTGCTACCACGCCCGGCCACACCTTTTATTTCAGCATTCGGGAGGCAGAGGCAGGTGGATCTTTGTGAGTTCGAGGCTAAAAAGGGGGCTGAAAAGATGGTTCAGTGTTACGAGTACTTCCTGATATTCCAGAGCATCTAGGTTCAGTTTCTAGCACATACATGTTGGCTAACACCAGTTCCAGGGGATCTGACACCTGCTTCTGGACACTAGGCATTGCACACACATGGTACACTTACATACATGCAGGTAAAACACTCATACATATAAATAAATAAAATAAATAAATAAATAAATAAATTTTTTGAAGAAAGAAAAAGAAAAGAATGCTAAGAGTAAGGCTGTTTATTTAGGCATAACCGTAATGTGGTTTACTAATGCCACACCCCCAAAAGAAACATTTAAAAGAGGGTACCTTGGACAGGTGTACATACCTTTAAGCACTTGGGAGACAAAGGCAGGCAGATCTCTATAAGTTCAAGGCCAGTCTGGTCTATGCAGTAAGTTTCAGGCTAGCCAGAATGACATAGTGAGATTCTGTTTCAAAAATAAATAGCCAGGGACTGGAGAGATGGCTCAGCATTTAAGAGCACTGGTTCTTACAGAGGACCTGGGTTTGATTCCCAGCACCCACATGGCAGCTAACCACTGTCTGTAACTCCAGTTAGTGAATGAATGTGGATGTGCTTGATCCAGCGCCTTCTTCTGACCTCCATGGGCACTGCATGACAGGGATGCACTTACATACATGCAGACAGTATACTCATACACATAAAATAAAATAAACAGCCAAACAAGGTATGGTGGTATACATCTTTAATTTCAGCGCTTGGGAGGCAGAAGAAAATAGATCTCTGAGTTTGAGGCCAACCTGGTCTACATAGGGAGACCCTGTCTCAAACAAATAAATAAGGCCTTGGAGAGATGGCTCAGTGGTTAAGAGCACATACTGCTCTTCCAGAGGACCTGAGTTCAATTCCCAGCAACCACGTCAGCTCAGAACTACCTGTAACTACAGCTCCTGGAGGATCCAACACCTCTGGTATTCTTAGATGCAGGCACTCAGGTGTGCATACCCACACACAGACACATACACATAAGTAAAAGTAAATAAATAGCCAGGCAGGGTGGTACATGCCTTTAATCCCAGTACTCAGGAGACAGAGGCAGGTGGATCTCTGTGAAATCAAGGCCAGCCTGGTCTACATGGTGAATTTCAGTCCTGCCAGGGTTACAGGGAGCCCCTGTCTCAAAAAGACCAATTAAATAAATAAATAAATAATAAACAAATAAATACAAATATAAATAAAGTTAAAGTAAAATAAAATCAAAGAGGGCATCCCTCCAAAACCAAGCCTTTTGTTGTTTTTGGTGGGAGTTTGGT